ACATATTTTTATATACGCTGTTTTGCCGTTACAAGAACTTTTAATATTTTCACAATAAACTTTCTGATTATGAGAAATATCAGATTACTTTTAAATGTAAAACCATTAAAAAACATAAAATGAAAAAAAAAACAATTAATTATACATTGAATAATTTTAAACCCAATACACTTCGTATTATGTCAATTATTTTGACATAATCTGATTTAGCTACAATTAACCTAGAAGAAGATTAAGATCTCTTATTGTTAGTCTTAGTTTGTCACTAATCGATATTTCAAGCATAAACTTGTTCATATGTAATTCAAATATTATAGCATTAAATGTTATAGCATCTCAACTTTAATATAAATACTAGCTGACCCAGCAAACGTTGTTTTGCCATAAAAAATTATTCTAGTTTAAAATGTTTAGTATGAAAATAATTAATTGCAAATGTGGTATATAAGTAAGAGGATAGCAGATAATAAAAAATATATGAATATTTTACCCACTGAAAAGCACACCACATTTTTGCAATATATGATATTTTTGGGTCATATTAATAGTCCTTGCAATAACGCATTGTAAGTAACTACATTTAGGGTAATAATTATAATTTCGGTGGTATTCAATAATTGGAAACTATTCGATATTTGATCACTTTTTTCTAATGAACTGATTGTGAGTAACTGAATAACTAAATGCACTAATTGATAATAGTGATCTAATAAGTAATCAATTTCCATAGATTAGCATGTTATTTTTATACTGTCGCGAATTAACTATTTTTAACGGCGGTGAATAATATATTTGTTCGTTTTATTTACTAGGTATAAAGCTCAGCAGCAATTAATGGAGCAAGATCTACATAACAGAGACCTGCAAACCCGAAGTGATCATGAATCGATGTTATGGGAGCGCGAAATGTATCAACAAGATCAAATACTTGCTAACGCAAGGCAACAGATGTTGCTGCAGAGGGATATGATGTAAATTATGATAGTTTCTTAATACTCATAAATTAATATTTATTAATCTAATTCGAATTTAAAACAAAATAATTATCGTCCTATGATTAGAAAAATAGATGGTAATTATTCATGATCCAGAGATGACATCCGACCGCTTCGCAAAGTCTTTAGTTATTTAAAATTTGTATAATTTTTGTCTAAAATCTAACTTTCTCACACAGACAAAATTTTAATCATAATTATCATTTAATGTTTTGTTGTCTGGAAGAGAAAAGGACCTCGCAAACAAAAATTTTACCAACGTCCACGCATGGACTTGTGCCACCACTGATCATAAAGTTAATTTTACTTGGAAAATGTCTCTATATTCTTATAGAAATTCACAGTGTACAAGTTCCAATCTATACTATTATATTTTCAACATTCACAACAAATACAAATTAAGGACAAAAAAAATTAAAAAATCGATGAACTAAACATATAAGAAACGATGTCAAAAATCCTATAAAATGATGAAATATTTATTAAAGAAGTCCACTCGTATACAATCGCATGAAAAAAAATTAAACCTATATTGCTAAACTAACATTAGTATTTTAAACATATAATCGTTTCAATTAGTTTTATTTTCATAAAATAATTTAAAAATTTCAATATTTTCTATATTTCTCAATCCCTTATAAAAAGCGCAGCGAACTAAAATCAAATTGTTTTGAATATCTTTTTGAAAGTGTAACTTTCCTGTAATTAGTAAATTAATTCCGTGTTAAGTAATGAATTCTGCCAAATTTATATGAGATATTTGAATATATTTACAAGCAAAAATAAATAAAAGTTATATTTTTAAATACAGTTGAATATGAAGTACCATGACTATAGAGAATGGAGATATGTGCAAATAGCCATACATACGTTTATATGTATATTTATAATCAGACTTCAGGCTAAATTTTAAATCGAACATGTCCAAATGTTTTCTCGTATAGCAATAATTAATAAATTATTTTTTTATATATGATTATATATTTTATTGTTATAAACTATTCATGTTGTCACAAGGAATATTTCAGGTTTCAACAGGAGGATAACGTTAGTAAGCAACGGATGCATATTTATAATGTATGTTTCACGAAACCAATAACTTGCGGCCCTGATATAAATTTGCCTCTACCAGTTTTGCAGAACAAAACTGCAGGACAATCGCAAGCAGAAGATAAAAATCAGGTCGATAATAAGTCACTCAGTGAAACGACTGAATCTGTGCAAGGTAATTGTTCTATACGAAAAAATATAGTTTAGTTAATTTTCACAAAAAAAACAATTATGATAAAAATAAAAGGTTTAACAAATATTTTAATTCAATCAAAAGTGAGCTTTTACTATAATTCTACTTTATAATAATAATTTTAGCGGAATATTTGATATTACTATGGTAGTATTATCTCACATATAGGCACAACGAAATCATAATTATTTATGAAAAAAAAGGTATGAAATATACAATTGCAGAAACCAATATAAGTAATTCTTCTTTCTGTATAATTGAATGCCACTGCAATTCAGGTCAATAAAATATAGTGATAAATGTAAAAATGAACAAAATTGAGGCGGACAAAATCGCCTATTTGATATCTAACAATTATTAGGTTTTTAGCAGAACCTATCACACATTTTTCAGCTTAATTATTAAATTTTAATTTGCCTAAATATTTTATTATTGTCAAATTAATGTTTCAGTTGCAGCATTGCCCAGGGGCCGTGCAGGACAATGCGGCAATAAGAAGAGTCGAAGTTTAGAAAGGATTGTAAACAGAGAAAATAGAACAACAAGAAGGTCTCACAAATCAAAAATGAATCGTGCCAAGATAACTCCTTACCCAAATAAGTGTGCCTGCGAATGCCACGATAATCTTTACCACACCAATAAAGATTTTTGTAATTTTTGTGATTGTGCAAAACTGTACGTACGGAAACCGGTAAATTATTGAAATCCATCATAAACTAGTTGTAAGTGGCATATTGTCTTTAGGCAAGCTTCATGAACTTCCCAATGGGTATTAATAATCGAATTAAACAATAATTGACTTGAATTGAGCTTTGACAATTTAGAATTTAGATAAAAACTTTTTGTTTCGAAAATTTTTGCTTTTACTAAACACTACATAGTCAGTGCAATTTTCAATGGATATCTTTCAAACAGTCTTATGAATTTTGTAAGTGCATTCAAAATAGTGTATGTATACACGGTGTATGTCCTGAAAAGAGCGAGCCATGATTCCAAACTTTAATGAATTTTTATAATTAAAACATTTACCGTAAATCAATGGTATTTTAGAATATTCATTAAGACCGAAAATACTATTGCCAATTAATTTAAGTTTCATTAATTGCAAGGAAACGGTCCGACCGATCTTTACTGAAAACTGATCAAGATTACCAACGGATTTAAAAATAAGTTTTCATTTTTGACAAAACGAAATTTTTTGTACTTTTCTACTAATTTTCAAGAAACGGCTCAGTCGATCATCTTGGCAATGCGTGTTTCTTCAAATGTCTTTTAAAATTGTGCAACAGTTTTCGAGAATATGGCAACAAAATGCAAAATTTTGGCTCATATACACGAACTCACATACTTTTTCTAATTTTTGTTCAAAGCGTTTCAGAATTATCTGAAAATTCGAGGAAATATAAAATTAGTGAGTTGGTTTTTCTAGCGAAAACATGATCTCCTTTGGCAAGTTAATATTATTTATATTGGATTGGCATCTATATATCTATATTATATATTTATCTATTGTCTTTAAATATTAAAAAACAATTTGATAATAAATCAGTGTAATTATATAAGAGCAATTTGTACGAGGTGTGGTGTTATATATGTTCAGTTTCATTACTAAAATGAATTTAAAGTTTGTGTACATCAAATTATAGTGAAGCAGATTACCAAATAGCCGTTTTTATGACTGCTAACTACTTATTACTGTAATTTTGTTTAATATTATAATTCACTTTTTCATTATCCGTGCAGTAATTTTTAATTGATTTTGTTTGCATTTCAGGACTTTAAACATTTTTCGGATTTAATATTATCGCCGAAAAAAGTAAAAAAACACAATGAAGTATCGCCAAATTCATCTCAGTGTATTTACTGCGGACACTACTATGACTCTAACCAAAATTGTAAAAATCACATAAAAAAATGTTGTTCTCAGTGCGTCAACAAACTCATGGATATTTGCAAAAGACATGATTTAGAAATTTCTGCATCGAATATGAAACAATCGAGATCGAAATATTCAAACTGTAAAATAAAAGCATTTCACGATTATATATGTTGCGAGCATTGCTTTAACCATATAAGCAACAGCAAAACTAAATCTTCACAGGATTCTTATGAATCAGAATCAAATGTGTGTAACGTACCCATTAATGTATTTGATAATAGTTGTTCCTCGAGCTTTACTGAAAGCAACGACAAGAATGAGCTTCAAATTGAGGAAATGCAGCAGAATCCGAAAAAAAATGAAGATGTAACTCGATTCAGAATATTAGACAAAGTTAGACATAATACACAAAAATCTCGTGGACCGGTATTCAATGGCGAAGAAGTCATTGATATGATTTTTCATAACGACGATTTTACGGACTGCAGCTAATTCTATCCTCATATTAATTATAAAAGCTGATATAAAATCTAATTACATGTTATTTTGACTTATTTGCAATTGTTTAAATTTGAAGTTTGTTTGTATTTTGAAACTATATAAGATGTTTGTTTAAAATAAAAATGATATGACATATTAAATGCATTATTTTTGTTAAAAACCATTATAAAAATAGGGCTTATTGAATCCTGTGATTGTCCGATATAATCACTTTGCTAATAACTACTAATTATAGTTGTCTACTAATAGTTGTAAAAGTATAATACATTTCTTTAAATTCCAATGAAGTTAATAAAATGTAATGTTTTGCATTATGACCATAGTCACCAAATTTGCTTTCCAAATACAAAATCAAGAAATATTTTCTTAAAAAAAAAAATACCTGAAGCTCCAGTAATCCTAAATAAAAGCTAATGGTTTGCTGTATTTTATCATCTGCATAACTTTTTACCATTTCCTAAGCCTTAGTATTCTAGATAGAGCCAGAAGCAAAACAATAGATATTTTTTCAATTGCATTTAGTGCTCGAATTATGTATTTATGTACTATGGCCTCAATATTTGGCCGTTACCCAAACCTGAAAAAAAAGATCAATAGCACTATTACCATTGTAGTAATGCATAATTATAATTTAATAAATATTTCATTCATATTAAATAACTAGTTTGAAAAATTTTGGTTCAAACTGTGTTAGTTTATTATCTTATTGCATAAACGTGAGTAGCAATTCTTATGCATATCAATTTATTTTATGCAAAAAATTATTGCTACAATTATTACAAAATAATCATATAAATTTAAAACCAATTGCCGCAATTTTATAACAAATATGGTTCAAAAGCAAAAGCAAATCTACTTATTCATGACACAAATTAAGATTTTGCAAAACGCTTGCAACGCTTGCTTGGTGCGCTTATACTTTAGGCTTTGATATATTAAGACTGGCAGTTCATTTATTTCAATTAGTTGAAAATAAAATCGAGTTCGTGATAAACAGTGCATGATCAATCAAACATCGGGAAACTGTATGCTATCTTTTTTTGCTAACAAAGTAAGTAAATGTTAAGATTAAAGTAATGCACACATGCTTCTGAAATCTAGAAAACCACCACGAATACTAATTCTTGATGCTAAATACAATATAAGAGAGATTTTGTTATAAGAACAAAGATAAATATTAGACAAATTGAACAGTTTATTTATTGATCATTGCAAGATTACAAGAGTATAAAATATTCTAACTCTATTAATTGGCAATAACACCATTTATACATTTAATAAAATTTCACAATTTAAAGTCAACGTTATAAAAGAAACAGTATAAAATTTATGACAAGACTTCAATTAAGGTAAACTAATTATCTATAGTTGAAAATTAATGAATAACGTAATACTAACATTAAGAATAAATGTCTTAATAAATATCCTAAACTTAAATATTTAAGTAATTATTGAATTGTTTTTCTGATTTAAATAATATAGAAAATAATAAAATACTGATAAAATAAATTACAAATAAATAATATCTCTTCAACAACGAAGATTGTCATGAAAAGCAAACTTACAAATATGGCAAATGAAACAAAAATTGTGACGCATAAGAAATATGGCAAATCACTGTCATTTCTTTTGTATATATATACCTATATATGTTCATACATATATTTACATATATACATACATACAACATACATACATATATTGGCCATACATTATTTTTGATCTTCTTGTTCTTCAACAGCGGCAAGAAACAATTTCTGACATGAATGTGTGACACCATCTAAAAAATAATTTAAGAATGAGCCGTTTCAATATGTAATTCATATTATTTATATATGTAAATAATGCTTACACAGGATTTTATTAAACCAATTGGGTTTAGAACAAACAACTCCAAAATAATATGCAGGTACACCAGTCAATGTGATTAAAATACCAATTCCAACTTCATATGGAGCAACATAACAGGGTACAACAACAAGCAAAAAACAGATTATCACAAATACAATTGGAATCCATAAACTGACCTATAATAAATAAAATAATTTGCTGTGTGATGATTAACATTAAATAATTAACTATAAAAAAAAATACATACCTTGATAGGTCTGACCATGTCGGGCTTTTTCCACCTTAAGTACAGCACCGAACTGACAGAAAGCATTATAAATGTAGATTCAACAATACTGCAATATGTTATAAGAACATGTACGTCAGTTGTGCACAGCATAACAAGGCTAAGCAAACTCTGAAAAAGAAAACTGAGCTAAAATATGTAACTAATAATTATAATGTATATACACATATACAGGGTGTCCCAGAACTCAACAACCAGCCAAAATGTGGTGATAGTATTGATCATAACTAATATGAAAAATAATAGGAAAAAAGAAATCCATGTAGTTTGTAAATCATAAGCTTTAAAGTGCAATAAGTTTTTTTTAGCAATACCGATCCCAATTGCTATTGCTTGGCCGGAGCGACTAGGGCGGGTGCTGGGCACGCCATTACAGAATGCAAAAAATTGGAAAAGGGTAGACAAGAACTATGAAGGGAGATTGTAAGGAAAAAAAATCTCGCTCCCAACCAATTTTATATTATTGACAAATAAAAAGATATATACACTATACAATTATATACAAGCAAATAAAATAAAAGTGTAAAGATTAATTATAAAATGTATGATGACTAATGTACATGTATACAAAGTCAACAAATAAACAATAAAAAAAAAAGTGTAACCTAGAACTTTGGTGAAACTGTGACCATTTTTCAGTTATTGTGGTTAATTTTTATTAATTTTGTTCATGTGAACTTTGCATTTATAATTGTAAATAACATTTCTAGAACAGTCAAAAATAATTTCTATATTAAACTATGAATTTTAAATTTTCAAACCATTTGCACGGATTTTGAGTAAAATTAACAATCCTGATTAAATGCACCTGATTAAATGATTAAACTGTGGATGAAACTTGCCAACACACTTCAGTACATTTTTTTAAAAAAGGGCAGAACCAATTTTGAAAATTTTACATTCATTGTTCAACATAAAATATAATACTTTAAAATCATAAAAATTTGGGGCAATTGTATCATTATTTTTAACTATGGTCCTAGAAATATTATTTATGATTATAAATCCAAAGTTTAAATGAACAAAATTAATAAAAATAACTGGATTACCAAAGCTCTAGATTGCACTTATAAGCTCACAATTTTCATGATTTTTTTTTCATAGTAGTTAGTTATAAAACAGTTATGACATTGAGTTCTAGGACACCCTATATAAATGAAATACAAATAAATAAAATGTTGTTGATTCAAATTCTTCAATCATGAAATAAACAATAATGAAACTATAATCATCTGCAAACTTTACAACAGTCTTCTTCACTTACCAGAAACACAAGGCTAGGTGTCGGAGTTAATTTATTGACATTAATGTGAGAAAGCATGGCCGGCATGTGACCGTTTCGTGCTCCTACAAAACACATTCGAGAAGAGGTCATAATGTGAACACTAAGGCCACCAAATGCTGACAAGGCAACCATGACTGGAATGATCCATGAAGCCATACCCAATATTTTGTCACCAAAACTCTAAAATTCATTGAATACATTAATAATGCAATTAAGAATAATAATAATTATCAACATCAGTCTATTTACGAGGATACAGGTCTCACACAAAAACAACAAAAGTTTTCCAGTTCCTACTTAAACAGATTGTGCAATAAAACAACAGCCCATGCCATTATCTAATAGTCTAATCTAATAGTAGTTAGTATGCAAATTATAAAACTATAAGTGCAAAGAATTTTTTAATATAACAAAAAATAAATTATATAAAACAATTTAGTTTTTGGTGCTATCATGAAACACTAAGAGATGTGCAAAATTAAAATTAAGCCTCAAAATTTAATTGACTAAATTCATTTCCCAATAAATTACTATAATTAAATACTTGTGTGAAAATATTTCATTAGATAGGTTAATTATTTTACCAAACTACCTACTTTTGTGAAAGATTTTTTTGCTGATTAAGTTTTGTGAGTGAAGAAATTTGGATTAAAATGTATTTGAAGTATATCCATATTTTACTTTTAAGCCAATACTATCACCATTTTAACAAAAATATAACACTAAAAACAAACTGCAATGTTTACATGCAAAATAAATCTGGAGTAAGAACTAAATAAATAAAATAATATGAACTTGAATATAAACACTCATGGTTATATCTATCAAAAAATAAGCCTCAAATATTTTTCATTTAAAAAACAATATTTTAAGACAATCCTAGAACATTTGTCTAAACAAACCACAGCAATAGCAGAGGACGCAATCATTGCTTGAGGTGTTAAAACAGCTAAATATGCAACATTTGCCATCACATAAATAATAGTCACAATCGGCAATGATATATATATGGCCCGAGGTAAATTAACATATGGGTCTTTTAATTCTTCTGTCATAAAATTCAGATAATTCCTGTAAAATACATAATATATATTTCTAGGGATTCATGTAAAATTAATTATTATGCATTAGGAGATTTATATTATTTAAAACAGTGCACTAAATGGCATAAAATGTTTGGGAAGCTGTATGTTAGAATCCTTATTTAAATTCAAAAGTAGAACATTTATTTGAGGCTGTGAAAAAAAAATTACAAAACAGGCTGATAATAATCTGCAGTTGAATATTTCAGATATTAAAATACACCTAAGTCTGTTTTTACACGGTAGATTGGTTCCAGAAGAAGCCGTGTAAAAAAAAAAACGTGTAAAAAAAGACATTGATCTTATACAAAAATGGGTGATTTGTTCCTAATCTCTAAAACCTATTAAAATTAGTAAAAAACAAGAATTTTTAGGGTATTCCCATAAATTAGTGCTATTCACATTTGCTTTGACCAGTAAAAATTGTTTGTACACGCTAAAGGGGGAATACATCTTTAAGCTAGTGTTCGCAAACTATCAATACTATCGATGGTACCAGACTTTTTTCTTTCATAAATACTTTTTTGTGATATGAACATACATCGCAGAAAATTAAATTTGACAAAAAAAATTTAAGTACATAAAATTTCAAATCGTGCTAAATGGAATAAAATAGTGTAAAAAAATTAAAAATATTCAATTTTCAAACCGTGTTAAATGAAAACCGTGTACAAAAAGACCGTGTAAAAACAGACTTAGGTGTATTCCACTTCAAAATTTGGAAATCAGCAAGATTTTTGTGCATCACATACGAGGTCTGTTCAAAAAGTACCCGGAATTTTCGTTTATTCAAAAAAATATTTATTTATTCGTCTACATTAATGTGGTCCCCTTCAAAGTAGTCCCCCCCAGATATAATACACTTATGCCAGCGTTTTTTCCAATTTTCGAAGCACCCTTGATATTCACTTTTTGATATGTCCTTGAGCACTCTCAGCGATTTTCTTCAATCGAGGAAAACCGCCGTCCTTTCATGGGTCTCTTCAACTTTGGGAATAGGAAAAAGTCACACGGAGCCATATCTGGTGAATTTTTGCACTTTGCAACACTTTATTTCATTTTTTACGCAAAATTTAATACAAATTCTTTGACTTTTCAATTCTTCCATTGTAAAAATCGCCGAGCTCAGAAAAACACGTCGAACCTTAGCGACTACCACAGACAAAGTAAACAGTGAATATAGCTGAAAATTTCATCATACTTTAGGGGCATGTATACCAACACAATAAAAAAAAAATTTTGACAATCAGACACTCCAGACCCGCGAAATTTAATTATTAGTAATTCCGGGTACTTTTTGAACACACCTCGTACATTACATTCAGTTATAGCTCAAATTTGAATTTCTCTTTCTTATTATAATTATATAATTTTTTGAATGTTTATGTTTTATATTAGCTGAAGAAATCTTACCATCCCGAATAAGAAAATATGCCAGAATAAATTGCAACAGATATTTTGCCAGGATCGGTATTTGTATTTTCAAAAGCATTTTCGAAGTTTTCAGCATGGCCTATAAAATTACAAGCACAAGTGTAGAGAAAAAAAAAACAAATATCATATAAAAGAAATTAATAATTAACTGTTCTTACCCAAACCCATCCAAGTTAAACCAGCTAGAATAATGATGACTAAAGCTCCAATTTTAGTGAACATGAATACATTCTGCATTTTGGTAGTGGACTTCACATCATAGCAATTAATAAATGTGAGCAAACCTATAATACAACATTAAAGCAATTGAAATACATTCAAATTATGCCATGTACTATTTTAAATGCATTCAGGTTCAATAAAAACAAAAATTATTTTAGAAAAACAATAAAAAACATTATTGAAAATTGGGATAAAATAATGATAATTAAATCATTTACATTGATAGAGATTTCATCTCGTACAAAAATATCAGATTTATTCTAATGTTTGATTCATTCATTTCTTCTTTTTACCTTGTTTTAGTAACCAAATGTTACTCTAACCAAATAATATGAAATACAATTTTATTTTCTAAAAAAAAAAAATACCTACAATATAATTCATATATTTCTTATTTACATAATAACACATTTCAAACTTTATTCTTCTCAAATTTATTTTTGAGCAATAAGATTAATAAACTTAGATCAAGTATAAAAATTGAAATAGTAATTATTGAGCATATTTGTTCACTACTCACATATCGTCAAAGCTGCAATTAAACGCACTGCAGATTCTGGAACTACACAGTCAACATAAAAAGGTTGCAAAACATATGAAGCAAATGTCAATCCCATAATAGCATTTGTTGTAGGGCTTAAATAAGCAATAAATGTTAAAAATGACCAATCCGAATATGTTGAATTAAATCTAGAAACTTACACAAAAATCAAATTAGCGTCCCATAAATAAAGGAATGCAGGAAGTGAACCAAATGCTTCATTGATATAGGCATAATCACCTCCAGATTGTAAAATTGATGTGCCAAGTTCGGCGTAACACAGAGCACCTATATGAAATAATATTCTATCAATAAAAGTAAAAAAAAAAAAAAGGAAATATCCTATATTTCAAATTAGTGCCATGATTTGTTTTCATACTTGTAAACACATCACACTGAAAACTTAATCGGATTTTTATATTTTTATTACAATTTCTCAAATCATATGTTTGAACTTTATTTTATTCTTAAATTAATTAATATTAGATTAATAATAATAACTTGTTTGCAAAACTGGCACATTGCAGAATTAAAGATCAGGAAGTTTTTGGTTTAACTACAAAAATGTGGGCAACTTTAATTTTAGGGAGCTTAATGATGGAAAATTGCCAATTAGAGGTAAGATTATTTTCAAAAAATTTCATTGAACAAAGAGCACTAAATGTTGTTACTGAAAATCATATCTACTATATATCACTCATTTTCCTCAATCAAAAAGGACTGGTGCAATATAATTTGTGTGATATTTTTTCATTCAACTTTATTTACATTAACATACCTATCATCGATAATAGACCACATACTATCCATATGATTAAAGAAGCTCCAACTGAGCCTACTTCTTTTATAACACCCTTTGGAGATATGAATATGCCTAAGAAATAAAATGAATATATATTTTGAAAGCAATTTTTACATAATAATCCCAATATAAAGATTTACCTGATCCAAATATAATTCCTAAAATTATAGCAACACCTTCAATAAGTCCTAATTGTTTTTTCATTTTGACCTTTTCTTCTATTACGGGGGATGTTCCTTGTCCAGAAATAAGTGCCATTTCTGAAGGAACGTTCTCAGACCGTTTTCTTGAAGTCATAACTAAAACTGATTAATTAAACAGATATTAAAGTATGTGTATACAAACATTTATATACATATATACATATATACATATATACATATATATATATATATATATATATATATATATATTGTAGAGCTTCAAACAAATAATGAAAAAGTGTCAGTGTACATATGTTAGTCGTTAGTGTATCATACAGGAAATTAATTCTGTTTTTTCAGTAACCTTTTCTTAAAACTTTCTAATTTTTTAACATTTGTAATATTTTGTTATATAATCTACTCATTTATTTTTATCATTTTCATTTTGATTATATTGTCATATTTCTGTACATTGATTTTTCCACATCTTCTGCTTTTCTTAAATATATTGTTTGTTCAAATCTTAACAAGATCATGTTTCTTGACAGATGTCCTGAAGATGGTACTTAGTTCCGAAACGTCGACAGTAAATAAATAAAGAAATGGATTTTGAAAAAACTTGTTTGTTTTATATTACTTTTTGGATTCATTGTTCAAACTCTACAAAATATTTACAAATCCAAGACGCTACCATCTAATATATATGTATATATATATATATATATATATATATATATATATATATATTTGACATGATTAGCCATGTAGCGACTACATCATTCTCTGTTTTAACTCAATATTTTATTTTATTGTTATGTGTTTGTTTTTAAAATAATGTGTTTAATATTATGCTGAATGATGACACACATACAGTGTCAAAACGTACAAAATAAATAGTTCTATTATTTATTGTCTTTTACTTCGGCTATTTGGCTACCATTTAACATTACAAGAATATGTCTCGATGTTGAACAAAAAAATCTAAAGCTTATATATACATACATATATATATATATATATATATATATATATATACCTATACATATTATAAAATTGATTTTAATTTAAATATTATTTTAACATATAATATAAAATCAACGAAGAAAAAATAGTTCTAAAATATTATGTTGTCAAATAAGCAAAAAAATATAAACTTGTTCAATACAAATAATTTTATAGTAACTAAGATTTCAAGGAAATATATGCAATATTTCCCTACTTTCGAAATATAAAAAATAATGTACAAGAATTATATTGACATTTATATAAATATTTTTTCATTTAACATCTTATACAAATTTGAAGAAATAATATATTAAATATAATTGATATATGTGGGTACAAAACATATAATAAATTAATATTGCATCTGGACGTACAGAAATTATTACCGATTGTATCAACATTGGATAAATACATGGCACAACATAGAAGCATAATTTCGTGATGCAACAAGTACCCAGAAATTAGTATAAAAATGTATGATATAGTACTTTAATATTGCATATAAGGTTTGGATACACGCAAACTATTACACAGATATTTTAAATTCATACTAAATACATCATATTTTAGTTCACACTTTTTTGTATTACATAATCATAGTTTTTACGTTATGAAGTCTGTAAACTTAAGCAATTAATAAACCTGAAAAGTGAGTGATTTGATATAGCAGGTTTATGTTAATACTTATTTAGTATTAGTGCATACAAGTAATTAAATGAGTTTATAGTAGCGTTTTACAAAAGTTTCAGCATATACCATTGAATAAAACCAACAGTCGTTTGAACTCTAATTGGTGTTCCTTTCAGTCTCTTCATATGTTCAATATGACTGTATTAAAAATAAACAAATGTGATACAAAGAACAAACAAAATTCATAAAATGCTTATACAAATTGAATCTGGTATTTAATTTTATCATAGTCTAAATTATCCTAAAATATCAAAGTTTGAAAGGAGTGTTTATATTAAGTAAAATCTTGTCATTTACGCAACTATTACAAATTATGACCTGTGCAATGATTATAAAAGCATATTTTGTTTCATGAGCTAGTGAAAGCTATGAGAATCATTAGTTTTATCTAATTCTTCACATTATGTCACATTAATATAGATTTTCCGTCAATTTTTGCATGTAAATATTAAGAGTCTCTAAAAGAAAACACCACATCTAGATACTTTTCAATAATATTATATTTGCACTTACATTTTTAATATCAACAAAAATTAAATATCACCGGCAGATTTAAAAGAAAAACCATAACCTAAAAAATTAGAAACTAAATTTTCTCGGCAACATGCCGTTTGGAATTGGTTTTGTTCAGAAATAGAAGATGTCGCTAAAATCGCAACAGAAAAATTGAGACGCAAAAAAAGGCGTGCAACGCAAGCCTTTGGCAAAAACATGTTTCGCGAGGGCGCCAATGTTGTGATACACGATATCGTTTTCCTTCTTACGAAAATAACATTTTACTTGTATTGACAAGATGAAGAACTGATAGATTTTTGAGAAGGCAGGTCTAGCGGTTATGGACTCTCAATAAAAATAAGTTAAAAAAGTGTCATTTGGTGGTCAAAATGTTCATTGGACATATGTACATAAAATTATCAGATATTTTATAGAGATTTTAATAAATTTTGAATTTATTTTAAAAAAATCAAATTTTCAAAATTTTTTATTATTTTCAAAAATTCTCAAAAAATTTAGAAAAAACGTTTTTTATAAATTCCAAAAAATTTCAAACTCCTAAAAAAATTTCAAATTTTTTAAAAAAATTCTAAATTATCAGAAAAATGAACAAATTTCTAATAAACATACACATAAGTAGTTTATAAAATTACGCTTCGTCGTATTTAATAAGCACTTATAAATTTACATTATGTATTTACAATAAATATCCATTTAAAAATATTCAAAAAAATTATTGATTATGTTCATTCCTCGAATGTTTAATTACAGTACGGGAAGTTCTAGCAATTTGCCTAGACACGATGCCATGCACCTATACACCCATAGATAAAAGAAGGGTATATAGATACCATAGATAAAAGAAGAGTATAGAGCATGCACCCCACGAGTTTTAATATAAATGTTAACATAATTTACATATTTTATTGAAGATAAATTATGTAAAGGAAGGAATCTCACACAAACATCAAATATTTCTTCTCAATAATTCCAACTGCAGCCTACCAGCAAATTAAAATAAATTTTTACTTGTGAATTGTAAGTCTATGTGAATTTTAAGTCTGTGATCGAAATATCGATAAATCATATCGATAAATCATATCGATAAATCATATCCATAAATCATATCATATCGTGTGCGAATTTTGAAGCCTACACTTGTTTTCGTAAAGACAAAAAGTAAATTTTAAATAAAGTACAATGAGCGAGAAAAATGATGATAATTGCCGTCAAGATGTACGAGAAGGTACAAAGATGGAACACCACGGTGAATTCGCAAATGAAGCTGATAACGGGCAGGGGATTCTAAACGAATTCCCGCGCACTTCAACACCAATCCAACTATCTAGTGAAGATGATGCATCCATTAGAGGTGGCGATTCTGCATCTGAAAGGAACCAAGAAGTCGAGTCAGGAGGTGAGCCGGCCGATGGAATTAGATTCCAGTTCGAGATATCCATTGGAAATGAAAAGATAAAATGTGAGGGCACAAATTCCATCATGATGGATGCTGCAAAGGATCGCCTGGAGGAATTCTTTTCTAAGCTCCAAAAAGAATTAGCAAATGATGCTGAAAACGGGCAGGAGATTTCAAACGAAATTCCCCGGACTTTATATCCAGTCCAACTATCAAGAGAAGTCGTGGCATCCATTGGCGGTGGCGATTCTGAAAAGAACGAAGAAATAGAGTCAGAAGTTAAGCCGGCCGATGAAGTAAAATTCCGCTTTAACATATTCCGTGGAAATGAAATCATATTAGCAGTTGAGGGTGAAAATTACTTGATGATGCTTGATGCTAAGGATCACCTGGAGAATTACTTCTCTAAGTTACAGAGAGAACGTTCCTAGAAGGGGAAGGGGCAGTGGTTGCAGCCGCGCCGGGCGGCACTTACCTTGGGGTGACATTTTTTATGTTTGATAGCTGTAAAAATCTACTTTCTTCATGTAATATTTATTTTCTTTCTTGAATAATAAATTATTATTTGATTATTATTAGTTTAATATTTCATTTATATAAATTATGATTAGCTATATGATTTTGAATATTATTCCTCGGTGTACATAAAAGCATGTTAGTGTAAATTCTAATTCAAGAATAAGATAATAATTTCATTTTATTGTATTCCTTAATTCGTTGAATTCGTAAAACGATTATTACGATTTAGTTCGGCAATTTTTCCTAACTAATTTTTTTATATCAGCTTATGAATGTCAATTCTTTTAAAAAGTTTATATGATCACTTTGAAGTGATATATCAATATCTTTTTAAATCATCATTTTTTCTTTTGAAAAGCAGGGCCGCATTAAGGCATTAAGGCAATATATAAATATGCGCACGAGTGCAAAATGTTTAAATGTGTAAAAAATTTACATTATGTATTATTATATATAATTTAGAAATATGAACAAACAACACTATTTTTTTGCACTAATTTATTAAATAATAATTTCACAAACGTTTCGAGACTATGTTTGTCTCATCATCAGTGTGTTATAAATTTAAAATCTAAAATATGGAAAACTATATAAGCATTATTTGATCCGTTACACGTCGTTCACTGTTCTGAACTGAATTCTCTATCAAGGTCAAAAAGATGAGTCATGCAATATCAAGTGGGGAAGAGAAAGAATAGGGCCCAGTTGAAAAATAGATGTCGCTAGGAGAAAAATATTCTATGAAAGGAACGGTTCGTTTATAAAAATTATTGTTATAATTAAAAAAAATATGTACCTATATATACACATATGTATTTACAAATGCATACCCATAGCACAAACCTACACATATACACAATACATACAACCAATATAAAAACATACATATACACTCATACAACCACATTCACACACACACACACACACACATATATATATATATATATATATATATACGTATATATATGTGTGTGTATGTGAATGTGAGTGTATATGTATGTTGTTATATATATATATATATATATATATACTCAGAATACATTTGTTATATATATATATATATATATATATATATATATATAATTTTATTATTTAGAATCGGGCAGTAACACCAAGTAAAAAAACTAAAGTAGTTTTGAAATACTTTATTTATCCATACGTTTCGGTTTTCATCGAGACCGTCATTCAGTGAAAAAAACTAAAAGATTTTATATGATGTAGGAGGAAAATAATATAAAGTTATAAAACTTATATATGAATACTTACAGAAATTAATTATACAAAAATACACTACACTATTACACTGTGATAAACCAAGCTATTAATAACTGGAACATTTAAACTAATTATTTTTTTTGACAATTTTTGGTTACATTCTAGTGTGTACAGATTGACTAACGTCTAAATACTGAATGAATTGTGTTTACAAATTTTGCGAAAGTGTAAAAAGACTGGCAAACATATGTTTTTAGTAAAATAATAAAATAATAAAATACACGCTTCATTCAGATATGATGGTATTTTGAAAATGGTCAAGGATTATTTTATAGTCATTGCAAAGCGAATTGTTGTCCAATATTTTATTTATGGCCGTCTCGTTGTGTAAAGATTTTAGGCATCCTTCGCTAAATCTTCTTTTAAATAAATTATTTTACAATACAATTAAAAATACAATTAAAATGTTTTAAAAATCATTCAAATCGGACGCTGCGTTATTTCAAAAACCATTTTTACGGATCCAATGTTTTTAGAATTATTCAAATCGGTTGATCCGTGTTCCCTAAATCGTAGACGAAAATATGTATCAGCTCGCGCACACGCACATACCTAAAAATACATTCATTTTTAAGGTATGCCAAAATGATCAGAAACCTTCAATACGTATCAATAAGATCTATAAAAATTTTCAATTTCGAGTTTTTTGCGATTATTATAACTTACCCTACGGAAAGTTAATGATTATTAAATTTGTATATTATCATTAGTATTTGGTGGATTAATTTCTAGCCTTGAAAAATAAACTTCATGCACATTCTTAGAGTGCTTTTACTAATTATGAGACAAAATGATTCATTATTATTGTATTTATTATTTTGCTGCGCAATGCCACTACTTATAATTGGAATTCTATATCATCAATTATATGAAGTGCAATATATTCTTTTAAAATGATCTGGATACGAATCTGGAATATAAAATACATTTTATAAATCGAAACTATAGCTTCTTTGTTGCATATAATGCTATTTGTATGCATTTCCCGATTTGTACATTTTCTATACGAAACAATTCCATAGCCATTTAGATATCAGTAATGAATATACTAAAGATCAAGTAGTGGTATCAGTGAAGAAGATAGCATGTTAGAGATAAAGTCAAAAGTTGCACTTTTTAAAATTAAGTTTAATAAAATTATATTGGAAATATGTGTTACCTAAAACACGAATATAAAGAAAACATGCTAGTTTTTATTTTTTGTTTAGCTAGTTTACTGATTTGAATATTTAATATCAGAAGTTAATTATTCTAGTAATAAGTATTTTTATCTTAGGTAGAGTCCTTCAGCAAAAATTAAAAACATTTTTGTAAATTTCTGTACATTAACCCATTTTCAAATATAAAGATGTATAAGTAAGAAACTAAGAAGTATTGTATTATATACAGGTCTTAGATCTCAACGTCAAGCCGGAACGGCGTAGCTCTCAAGAAAAAAAATAGAGAAATACATTATTCAATGCAGTTTGAGAATTAAGAGCTTTAAGTGCAACCCAGAGCTTTAGTTAAAACCATTTATTAGATATTGTAGTTAACTTTTTTTTATTAATTTTATTCATTTAAACTTTGGATCCTTAATTGTAAATAACATGTTTAAGACCACAGTCAAAAATAATGACATAATTGCTCAAGTGTTCTAGAATTAAGACTATTTCTTAAACTATGAATTAAATGAGATGGTTGAATTTGAAATACTTTCCTTAAAAAACTTATACTAAAGTGTATTGACAAGTTCCATCAAATGTTCGCGCATTTAATCGCGAATGTGTAATATCAACACATTATAAATTCCAACAAAAATAAAACTAGTTTACTATATTATTTCTGCAATGAATTGATCACAAATGATCTAACTTTAATATTGAACGTTACAGCATGTGCATTCCGTTCGTATATTGCATTCAATTCTCAGAATTTGGATCAGTGGTTTCAAACGGAGTTTACTCGAATAATTGGTATTGTATAAATAAAAAAATATGATAAATAACATTAATAAATGATGCATAACTTATTTAAATTACGTTGTTGCAATACAAATATTGCCAATTATCAAACATAGCTTCATGCGCTTCAATGTCTTTATAAGAGTAAATTATTTTTTTACTGTAATATTACTCAGTAAATTTTTATATAAAATATACATATTAATTATGATAAACACAAATAAAGAAATAAAGAAACAACAAAAAATCGAAAATAGTTGATATCCATTTCAGAGGACTATTGGCAATTAGCATGAGTTTAACATTAATTGATTGAAAATTTCTTCAAATATACCATCCAACCAATAAATATACCATCAAATTACATCCAACACAGTAATATTTTAAAGTTAATAAATTGTTAAAGACAATTCATAAACTGTCAATAATTTCAACTCGTAGATCATAATTCTTTTATAAACCTTGACTTTTATAAATCTTGAATATGGATCATTCTTTTACAAATCGCACACCAACCAGGCCTCGACATTTTAGAATTTCCGATTTTTTTTGAGATATTATTCATAAAATCATTTGACACGTATTTCAAATTTAGCTGAAAAAAAAATTTTAAAGCAAATATTTACAACTGAAATATTATTTATTTTCTATGTATAGGGTACTGCGTGAAATTAATTATGTCCAGTTGTGCTGATTGGGTCAGTATTTTTTATTTTATTAATTTCCCATAGGATATGTATAGTAATCGACCACGATTCGGATATGGCACGATGCCATATACTACTAGTTAATTATTCAAATCGGTTGATCGGTGTTCCCGAAATCGTCGATGAAATTTGTATCCACACACACACACATACACACTCACACACATACATCAATTTTTTCTGAGTTTTGCTAAAATATTCAGAATCCTTTGAAACGTAAAACTATATAAAATTTTCATTTTTGATTTCTTTGCGATTACTATAACTTACCCTACGGGAAGTTAATAGCACATATCGAACAAACAACTATTTGACTATGTTCAGTAAAACTTTTATTATTAGTTCATTCATCGGTGCAGAAATGTATTTTTGCTGGTTTTCAAAAATTTGTCTGTTTCTTTTTGTCCCCACAGAGTAAAATGGAACGGCCAGGGAGCAAACAGGTTTAATGTTTTTTTCAAGTTTTAAAGGGATTTTTTGTAATAATAGATACATTATTTAATCAATGCGAAATATAATTTTCATAGGTACATTTTTAACAGAACACTGTATATAACCTTGATATGGTATTTTGTCAGAAATATTCATCAGTAGAGTTGGAAAAACTATTTATTTATTTATCTCTTGTAAAATTGCATTGTTAAACTTTTTTATTTACTATTTTTTATTGTTTTTACCTTTTTCAGGGTTAAGGTTTGTTTGGTCCTTTTTCCTTTCTAACCCCCCCCCCCCCACGTGTGAGCTTTTAAAAAGGTTATATAAAAAAATGTTGAATTTAACTGAAAATTAACAGTACATCTTATAAATCTATTAATTGACGTATACTTAAAAATTATAGTAAGATCTCGTAAACTAAACAGCAGTTTAAAAGAAGAAAATCCTTTTTATTATGGCTTTTCAAACATTGCCGTTTATATCCCAATTGCGATGTTGTAAGAATCAAGCTGATGACTGGTTATATATCTTTTTCCCACTACATTCAAATATTGTTGGTAATTTTTTTTAACTTCACTTGTTTTTGAGATATTGATGGTGGACCTTTTTACCCGCAAACCTTGAAGCCCCGCTTTATCCTATTTTAAAATTGTTTATTATTTTTTGTGTAAAGTCTATATTAAAAATAGAAAACAGTGGAATAATCACTTGGAGTCATTACCCGCAAATTAAATTTCACAAGTCACACAAAATAAGAAAATAGTCGATACTGGATACGATGCGAATCAAAAATTACGTTGAAGAATTAAATAAAAGTTCTATATTCTTTTGTATTGTAATTATACTTCATCATTTATTTGATTAATTTAATCAGTCTCATTTCTTTATCTATATTTATAACCAGCAACAATTGTAGTTTGTTCAAATGTTCAAATTGCTTATTCAAATAAATCGCATATTAACTTACTGTAACTTTACTTTAAAATATGATATACATATGTATATATATTAATAGATAATATATATTATCGATTATCTGGCAATGAATAAAACTGCCTTGCAAAACACGCAAAACATTTATAATTTCAAGATCTAAGCATTTCAATATGAAACTGCAATGCAAGAGCTCAAAAATATCATATGTTTATTAATGTTTGTACGGAAACCCCCATGAATGATTTGTTTAAATGTTGCTTAAGTAAAAAATATATTTTATAGAAAAATGATTTTATTATCTGCTTTACACACAAAGATTAAATAAATAAATTAATATAATGTAACCAAAATACACACACACAGACACGCATAGCAAAATCATTTCACAATATTAAGAAACTTATAACTACAAATATTATTTACAATGCAAATATTATAATTCTGTTGTTTCTAATTTTTTGCCTAGTAATTGCGAATTAGATATTTTGTGCAACTGTTGATAGACATTATAATCATTATTTTCTGTTGGCAAGGTCGGGTTATTAGTGTTGTCTTTAGGACTATAGCTTTCATCCACTAAAATATTTTCATCTAAAGAATCTCTTTCTGATGTTTGACTGAAATAAAAAAAAATTATGCATTTATTTTTCCTGCAAAATTCATCTTCACAATTGATCAAGAGAAAACATTGTTCTGAAATTATTATCATTTCACGTAAACTTAACACGTAACGGACGGGCTTCATAGATTCACGTTTTTACGGTTAACATGAAGGTGAATGATTACTTGAGAATATATTTATTTCTCTAAATAATGGTTTAGCACAAATGCGATTACAATAGAGCAAAAGAATTAAAGGTAAAATGAAAATTCTGAGTGCGGACAAGTTGGCCGAAGTTGAATTGGAAGTTGCTAATTGCTAGTTGAGATGATGAAGTAAAATTTTTGAATTATACCGACCTGAATTCTTCTTCTTGTTTAAACCATTCGTTTTCGTAAGCCTGTAACCACATCGGATTGCTGCCTTCAACACTATGTTTATTTGTATTTGGCACTCGTCCTGTTAGGCAACCATATGTTTATTTGTATTTGGCACTCGTCCTGTTAGGCGTTTTTTTACCCCATCCACAAGCAAACTTTTATAGAGAATATATAAAAATATCAGATGAATCTAACTTAAAATTAACAATATCTTTTATAAAACAAATAAATAACGTAGGTATACTTGAAAATCACATTAAGGTTTCGTAAACTAAACAACAGTGCTCATAATCATAAAAACTAACAATGAAAGAAAATACTTTTGCTATAGATGGTGGACTACACACTTTTTTAACTTCCCGAAGAAGAGGTTTATGTTTACATAAAAAATCCGATTTGCTAATTTTATGTTTTCTCGACGTTTCAAGCCATTCTAAATCGAATGAGACCAAATTTGAAAAAAGTATGTGTGTGTGCTTTATAGAACATACTAAAATATTACGTTTAATTTAAAAAATTCGTCAAAGTTTCAGTCAAAAATTAGTATCGTTTTTTTAGCATTTGTCAATATTAGACCTTTCATCGACGTTTGCTCAAAAACGCCCGATTTCAGAAATTTAAAAGTCATTTGATGTATCTCTATGAGAATTATCGTTTGTCAGTTTTGTGCTACGATCTGCCGAGCCGTTTCTTTGTAATTTGGCAAAAAGTGTTAAACTTTTTGTCCGCATTTAAGCTCATACTACGGAATCGATTTTAAAAAATCAAAAACTGTTCGAATGATATTAATTGGAAATGATACTGATTAGTTTTTGGTGAAAATCTACCGAGGCGTCTTCTTGTAATTAACTGTTGAAAAAAAAATTTAAGCCGATTTTTATGGAACTATTTTTGACGATACATATCATTGTCTTATAGAACTTTCTGAAATATTACGACAAATAGTTTAATTTTAAAAAATCATCAAAGTTTGAGAAAATGAGTAGTTTTTTGACGTTTGTTAATATTAAAATTAGACGATTTACTTGATATAACAATAGAGCACTTGGTCTTAATGAACATACTGAACCATTAAAGTCCTACAAAAACTAGTTCAATTATAAAAAATATTGATCTTTGAAAATTTGCTTTTAGAAAATAGTCCAAGTTAACGTGTTTGTTCGTTTTCAATTATGTGTAATAAATGCACTCGGAATACGTTTAATTACTCATAAATTAATTTATTTTTTATTGATCAAGTCGATTATTTACGCATATAGGGAAGTTCATGTAACTTGCCTCAAGGCAGAATACCAATACCAACTAGTTTACTCTTTAACTCCACTATACTTGTTTTTGAGTAATTGATGGTGGACCCGCGGACTTTTAAGCTCTCTACCATAATTTAAATGACCTCAATTTATAAAATCAAAATAATTGATGTTGGTGATCTTGTTTGCTTTAGTTATACAATTCAGTTATACAAACATACTGGAAGTGTAGAAATTTCAAGACTAACTTAATACTCAAATGATTCTAAAATAGATCATAGAAATAATATGTATAATAAATGATGAAGTTTGAAGTAATCTAAAATAGAGATTAGTATAAAAGTATTAATTACAAACCATATTTACCAAACACACTAGACCTCGCCATTTTAAGTTTGTGTTTGTAACTGGACCTTTGCGTCAGGCATAGGACTAAAACAAAAATTAACGTAGCGGCTAGAAAAAGTACGATTGAAGCAAGCCAGGCCACTGCTTGCCTTCCGCCTCCAGCCAACAGCATGAAGTCCTCGGACAATGGGACTGCTTCAGCAGCCTGCGTGTCCAGGACGTTGAATTCCTATGAAAAAAAATCGTACTCCAGAAAACGTATATAAAGATGCTTCTTAAACTAATGTTTTTTATAACTATTTACTTACTAAGTTTTACAAATGCTGATAATTTTAACAGACATACGAAAAAATTTATATATAAGTTTGTATTTCGAATTTAACCCATCATTTATTAATGATTTCTTTTCTTGAGCCAGATCAATTAATTAAATTTTTTTGTCTTTTCAAGTCATCAATAAACGTATTTTTTATAAACTTGCTTTAATATTCCTTGCTTACATTGTTGCCTAACTGTTTATAATGAAAGTCTCGCCGTGTTGAGTCAAAAATGTTTGAATTAATAATTGAGAATATATTAAAATAATAATTTAGAATATTTAATGATCGATCATTTTTATGGGTAATTGATATTTGTGACAACTCCACCGGGAATTTTACGGATATAAGTATTAGACAAATACCTTCATAAATTACTAAATAAAAGTATCAATCAGTATTGCAAAGATTATTTTAGATTTTTTATTTGTTGATTAAATTATATTTAATAAATCTAAATAATTTACCTTGAAGAGTGAGTCAAGCGCTTCAGTGTTTTGATCAACAAGTCGTAATATGTGAGGAACTTCCATAATTGAATGATCTTTAGGATTAACTAGATGCATATATAAATCAGTTTTAGTTTTATCAATAGTACCGTCTCTGTTGACATGAATTTTAAAATCATCAACGTTGACGATAGAATTTGTAACATTTCCTAGTGTCCTAAAAATAGAAATTGATATATATATAATTTCATTAAGTAAAACCAGAGCATTCCTTGCTTACATTGTTGCCTAACTGTTTATATTGAAAGTCCCGCCGTGTTGAGTCAAAAATGTTTGAATCAATAATTGAGAATATATTAAAATAATAATTTAGAATATTCAATGATCGATCATTTTTATGAGTAATTGATATTTGTGACACCTCCAGCGGGAATTTTACGGATATAAGTATTAGACAAATACCTTCACAAATTACTAAATATAACTATCAATCAGTATTGTTAAGAATATTTTAGATTTTTTATTTGTTGATTAAATTATATTAAATAAATCTAAATAATTTACCTTGAAGAGTGAGTCAAGGGCTTCAGTGTTCTGATCAACAAGTCGTAATATGTGAGGAACTTCCATAATTGAATGATCTTTAGGATTAACTAGATGCATATATAAATCAGTTTTAGTTTTATCAATAGTACCGTCTCTGTTGACATGAATTTTAAAATCATCAACGTTGACGATAGAATTTGTAACATTTCCTAGTGTCCTAAAAATAGAAATTGATATTATATAATTTCATTAAGTAAAACCAGAGCAGTTTTTTCGAATTATATTTTGCAGATGCCTTTAGGCAACTTAAAATTCGTAGCATAAATATAGTATAATACAAAATTACTTACTCTCTAAACACATTAATATTGTCTCGTATTTCAGGTGGACTCTGTCTCAATATAAATTTAACTCTTTGATCTTCTCTTAATAGGTAAATAAAAACACGTGCGACATCCTGAAAGCCATCTGTATCATTTGCTAAAACCTAAAATATATCGTAAAAATAATGAAACATTGCAATTATAAATATACTAACATTAAAACTCGTTGCAATAATTTTTATTAAAATTAAAATTAATTTTATGGCTAATGATGAGGATAAATAAAATCTATTTCCTATTCAATATTTAGTCTCATATTAGTAAAGATTACCGAAGTTTTGTAAAGATATAAAATAAATCATCATAAAACTCGCACTTTCAAAAGTCAGACATTGATGCAAGTACATAAGGCCACCTAAGATTTAAATTAAGATTGTGAATTCACTTCGTCTGTCGACATTTATACTCACAATAAAATCAAAATATCCTTTCATTCCTTTTTGTGGATCAAAATTCAACTGTATTCCGCCGTCATTTATATCAACTAAAAAGGGAGGGCTGTGTATATTATCTAGACCTTCTGCCAAAGTCATGTGAATTTTACCAATTTGATAATATTTAACAAGTCCATTTTCTCCAGCATCCTTGTCTGTCGCCTGCATATGAAATAAAACTAGTGATAATGGTGACGTATTTAAAGTTTATATAGTTTAGATGCACTTCAATTTTTTTTGTTAGAAACTATGCATTAGGCGTCACAAAATAACAGTTGTGTGACAAAAACCAGTATATTTCATTCCTTTCTTCAAATTATTGCTTACAATCCCATATACGTAAGATCGATTAATATTGAACAAAACTAGTGGTGCATAGTATAGTGACTTGAGGCAAATTTCTGGAACTTCCCGTTCCAAAAACAATTTTTTTAAAAAATGGTTAAAATTATTTTCAAACTTTAAAAATTTAGGTTTTTGGAGAAATTTTAAATTTTTGAGAAAAATTACTGTTTTCGAAAAAAACTTTTTGGAAAAAAATGTTTTCTTTGTTTTGAAATATTTTGAAAATTTTGAAATTTTTTTCTAAGCAATCGTACTGCTTTAGCTGCCTAGTGACGAAATATTGAAGCGCGTGAGCGCCGCGTCGCCGTCTAACGGACAAACGATGTTACGGAACCCATAGAAATGTAAACAAAATTTAAACGTATTATTAAAATCTTTATAAAATATCTGATAATTTGATGCGCCTAATCAACACGTCTTCTCATCAATAGGAATCGAATGTTTTTTGAATAATTGAAATCGGTTTTTGGCTTTGTTTTGCCAAAATCGTCGACGAAAATCTGTATTCGCACACACACATTTTTTTGCGATTACTATAATTTACCCTACGGGAAGTTAAATATAAGTTCTCCCAATTTCAACTCTAATGAAGTGTAAAGATTGTTATAAATTTTAAGTAATTTTATGCAATTGTAAAAATAAGAGAAAATGAGTAAGTTTTAATGGCGAACCAAAACAGGACAAGAATATTGATATTGAAGTTTTTACTTGTATATCAATATTTACTGTTGGTTGCTAGAATCCAACTGGACCATTACCTTACTCAAATTTTATATTGGAAGCTATTGTTTCTGAATTAATATATGAATAAAAAACGTTATTATATATTTTCTTTTTGATTATAATTTATATTGGTTCAAGGAGATATGCTACAGCTATTTTTGAAAACTATATCTAGGTCTCAAGAACAAAATGTTGGTCGGCCGTTGCTTCCACTTTATGTGGCCCACTCTGTATTTAACATGCTTCTATAGTGTATATATTTATTTAGTTATTAGTCCGTATTAATAATTAGATATAAAAATATGCAAAAAACGACAGCATGATTCAAAATATGACTTTATTCCACATTCCACCGTATTAATTACTATCACATCAGGATTGACTCCATCGTTACCTTGACGTGCATAAATCGGGCGCCAAAATCAGCAGCAGTCGTCACGCCTCCAGTAAAAACATTGCTGACAAATTTTGGCACATTGTCATTAACGTCAATTACATTAATTACAACTTTCATTAATGTATTATCGGAAGAATTAAAAAAACTGTTTTTTAGAGGCGGCTGCAAGCAATTGACTGATGCCTTTACCAAGAGTACATGCTTATTGGTTTCTTCACGATCCAGTTCTTTATTCACCTGTTGATATAAAAAATAATATTAAAGATAATTTACAAACGCTAATATTAGATTATTTAGAATATTTACAAAATTTCTTTCTCCATCAGAATATTATTGAGAAAAAACAAACAACACATATGTGGTTCGAAATATACATACGAAGTGTTATATATTAGTAATTGCATAAGTTTCTTATTATTTTTAGAAAAAAAACTAACACGAATAAAATTTTTAAAAAGCTTCATATACTAAAGCTTAAAAACCTAAATAACATTTGATCATATTTTAATTATTTTTTAGGTTTTTTGATTTTTTGTTAGTTTATTGATTATTATAAAACAGTTTGATATAATTGTATCGGAAATACCAATAAATGGTATTTATTTACAATTACCTATTTCAAAATAAATTTAATAATTGACACTGATCCCCAAATTAATTTTTGTACTATTTGCTACATCAAAACAAATTATTTTATCTTTAATAGAGAGAACAAAAAAACAATAAATTGAAAATAATGGGATATTCATTCTACGATGTGGTATTGTACACAGAATAATGAAAAGTTGTAAAGTAAAATGTAAACATGAGTTAGGAAATAATGAAATAAAGAAGGTTTCACACTGTAAGAACATAGGATATAAAAATTACATCTAATTTTTTTTTGGCTAAGAATATGACATAGGGATTGATTATTATCAATTAAGCAAGATTATAAAAAAGAGATATGAATAGTTATGTAACAATTCATGATATTTAATAAAAATAGCGAAGAAAAGACGTTCTGAAAATTTAATTTGTTTTAATTAGAAAAGTTATAATTATTTTATGTACATAGATTAAATATGGCAAAAATTAAATTGACTATAAAATATATTGTATTTTTCTCATATCCAAATTAACATTACCTATATATTTTAATTGCAATATTTGCAATAATTTACATCTCCAAATAATCATTTTTAAATATATATATATATAAATAAAAATAAATGAAAGTAAGCAAAAAATTTCCGAAACTATTGGAATAATAAGAGTAAAAAAAGTTTGTATAATGAAAGTAAAAAAAAAAGTATATTAAAAATAAAAAAAAATGTTTGTAGAATAATTTTAATGTATGGTAACGATATGTAAAAAACTACTTTAGAAAAATAGTGGAGCAGCTGGGGAGATTCGTACCACTGTAAAAAATGTTTGTATAATAATTCTAATGAATGGTATGTGTTAAGATAAGATTTATAGAAAAAAATACTTTAGAAAAATAGTGGAGCTGCTGGGGAAACTCGTACCATTGTAACCACTGTAAAAATGTTTGTATAATAATTTTAATGTATGGTATGTGTTAAGATAAGATTTGTAAAAAAATACATTAGAAAAATAGTGGAGCAGCTGGGGAGATTCGTACCACTGTAACCACTGTAAAAAATGTATAATGATTCTAATATATGGTATGTGTTAAAATAAGATTTATGAAAAAAATACATTAGAAAAATAGTGGAGCAGCTGGGGAGATTTGTACCACTGTAATCACTGTAAAAAATGTATAATAATTCTAATATATGGTAGGTGTTAAGATAAGATTAATAGAAAAAAATACTTTACAAAAATAGTGGAGCTGCTGGGAAGATACGTACCATTGTAACCACTGTAAAAAATGTTTGTACAATAATTTTAATGTGTAGTATGTGTTAAGATAAGATTTAAAAAAAAATACTTTAGAAAAATAGTGGAGCAGCTGGGAAGATTCGTACCATTGTAACCACTGTAAAATTGTATAATAATTCTAATATATGGTATGTGTTAAGATAAGATTTATGAAAAAAATACATTAGAAAAATAGTGGAGCAGCTGGGGAAATTCGTACCATGGCAACCAATGTAAAAAATGCATAATAATTCTAATATATGGAATGTGTTAAGATAAGATTTATAGAAAAAAAAACTTTAGAAAAATAGTGAAGCAGCTGGGAAGATTCGTACCATTGTAACCACTGTAAAAAATGTATAATAATTCTAATATATGGTATGTGTTAAGATAAGATTTGTAAAAAAATACTTTAGAAATATAGTGGAGCTGCTGGGGAGACTCATACCATTGTAACCACTGTAAAAAATGTTTGTAAAATAATTTTAATGTATGGTATGTGTTAAGATAAGATTTGTAAAAAAATACTTTAGAAAAATAGTGGAGCAGCTGGAGAGATTCGTACCACTGTAACCACTGTAAAAAATGTATAATAATTCTAATATAAAAATAGAAATAGAAAAATAGTGGAGCTGCTGGGAAGACTCGTACCATTGTAACCACTGTAAAAAATGTTTGTATAATAATTTTAATGTATGGTATGTGTTAAGATAAGATTTGTAAAAAAAATACTTTGGAAAAATAGTGGAGCAGCTGGAGAGATTCGTACCACTGTAACCACTGTAAAAAATGTATAATAATTCTAATATAAAAATAGAAATAGAAAAATAGTGGAGCTGCTAGGAAGACTCGTACCATTGTAACCACTGTAAAAAAATGTTTGTGCAATAATTTTAATGTGTAGTATGTGTTAAGATAATATTTAAAAAAAAATACTTTAGAAAAATAGTGGAGCAGCTAGAGAGACTCGTACCATTGTAACCACTGTAACTACTATAAAAATGTTTGTATAATAATTTTAATCTATAGTATGTGTTAAGATAAGATTTGTAAAAAATATTCTTTAGAAAAATAGTGTAGCAGCTGCGGAGACTCGTATCACTGTAACCACAGTAAAAAACTGTATAATAATTCTAATATATGGTATGTGTTAAGATAAGATTTATAGAAAAAAATACTTTAGAAAAATAGTGAAGCAGCTGGAAAAACTGGTGAACCACTCCGTACTTTTTGTCAGCGGCTTAAAAATTTGTTTTATTGTATAATTAAAAAAATATACAAAATTTATAGAGTCTAATAAATCTGAAAACAATTTTGACTGTTACATATGTGTTTCGATCATATCGAAAGAGTAAACATATTTTATGATTTATATATGAAAATTATGTATGTAACATTACCGTAAGCACGTGAGAAATGGCATCGAGATGAAATATGTCGTCTTGATTTCCGCCCACAATATAATAACATATCAGGGAGGGAGGGTCGTCTAATTCATCAACTTCATCTCTGTCAATCGTATCAGGCAGCTTTTGTTGCTCATCGCCAGGAAATGAGTTTTCTGAAATCAATATAAGTTTGGAATTTCTGACGACGCTCATATCCCTTTCGCTCATTGTAACAGTTCCGATACACGCATAACGATATTAAGAAACTTTTTGAAATGAATTACATCAATGAACTTTTATATAATCGTCATGATAAGTTTTTATATTTTAAAGTTAGATTTTAGGAAATTATTAACTTCCGGTTTAAATCGATTTATTCATAGCATCTTGATAACTATAAATACGTTAAAGTTGCAAAACAGATTTTTTTTGAACTGCAATTAGAACATGAGAGTACTATGAGGCTTTGTGATTGTACTCATTCAAACAAGTTTTTGATTTAGTTTATGTGGCTTTGCATCATTTGAACATTAAGCTATTTTCATATTTACATAATTTTATTTATATTTGATGTATTCTTCTAATTAATTTTCTTTAGAAGGTAAAACAATGGTTGGTCTACCTATATTTGATATATTTTTTATTAGATTTTTTTTAATAGTGATGATATTTTTTTAACTTGATGGAACATGGTCGCAAATAGTTATTTTGACTTGAAAACATGTTTTTGATTATTATATTATATTATATTAATTTGCGATGAAAAATGATGGATGAATCATGATTATTTTGTCAAAAAAATTGGATGTGAAAATTTTACTTCTAATTTTATAATTGGGATTAGGGGAAAGTCCCGTAATGCTGGACGGCACCAAGCACCGGACACTCTATTTAACACGTATTATTTAAGCGAGTATAAATCTTTTCATTTCAAAATACTAGTGAAAGGGGCATGCTTTCAAGAGAAATTTTTTGAGAGAATTTACGTAATTTATTCCAATTATTTAATTTTGTTCTGTATGAAAGCTAATGGTCACTACATACCCCCATTTCTTATATTTCCTAGTCGAAGAATGAAAAGCCTAGTTGAATGCACCAGCTGAGAGCATCGGTGAGGCCCAGCCAAAAGGGTAGATGAATAGTGACTTTTTTGCAATATCTAAGAATATTCGTCAAAGACACATATGCAAACATTCCAATGTGTTGAGATGGCTACATATGTGATCAATGCAGGTTATTTTGAAATGTCCGGTACTCGGTGCCACCATTTAAAATCATATTTTTGATACCAAAGTTTGATTGATAGTATTAATAATTTTTCAGCAAAGATTGCGGTTTTGTTAATTTAGTTTGATTTCTAACTTTGTTGTCTAACATAAATCATAATTTAATAAACATTTCGTAAAATATTTTTTAATTTATTTATAAATAACCTTAGGTGTCCGCCACTAGGGGACTTTCCCCTACGTGGGAATTTTGTATTTTGATTTTCCTAGTATAAATTGTTAAATGATACATAAATCAAGTATCCCAAAACATAAATAAATAATTTAATTTTGTTTCTGGTGTTGGGAAAAAATTTGAAAAATATGTATTATCAAGGCTAAATTGAAATAGAGATTACATAAGATGTTATACTAAATTTTTACCTGTAAAATTGACGTGATACTCATCTATTAAAAATTGCGGCTCATAATCGTTGACATTTTGAACATAAATGCTCAAATCGAGTTCGGAGCTTAACGGTGTCGGTGTTCCTAAATCATATGCTTCTACACGTATCTATAAAATAATAGAATTAAAAAAATGCAAACCAAAAACTTTTATAAATTTTATATATAATAAATAACCGCATTTTTTTATTTCATATTGTATTCTCAATACTCACTTCATAAATTTTTTGTTTCTCTCTATCAAGAGTTCTTTTCAGCTCAATGGCACCTGTCTTTTGGTTTATTCCAAACGTTTTATAGTTTCCACTGATATCGTGTTTTAGTTTATAGCGTACTTCCCCGTTTATACCAGTATCCTTATCAGTTGCGCGCACCTGGATTACTGGTGTGCCTATTGTTGCATTCTAGGTGAAAGATAAAAAAAATATATATTTATAATATATTTTTATAGTATTTTTGTAATATTTAAATTATTCTTATTTGGCTTTATCAATATTTGCAACAATTTTTTATAAAAAAAATATTCATAAAAAATTTAATAAGTCAACAACTCCACATCTTTCTCGTTATATTTACATTACACATACAACACACTTTATGTTTAGTATTGATATGACACAAAGAAACAATGACTTTAAATATAGAACTTTAAATATAGAAACTTCCAAAAAAAATTAAATAAATACTTATTATTAACACCTGTCTTGTTACAGTATTGCAAATAAATACCATTAAGTAATAAGAACAGTTATTCCAAACTAATAAATATGCATATTACTAAAATTACACAATGTCATATTATAAATTACGTTACCTCTGGAATTCTTATTGTTATATTTTCAATTGGCATATCGAACACAGGTGGATGATCATTGAAATCAGTGACACAGATGTGTAACGTTTCTTGTATTTTGTTAGGATTCAGTCCTAAGTCTGATATTTCAATCAAGAGGGAATAATTACCATAACGTTCCTTTAAAGACCCACTAGCAAGAACGCGAGCAGACCAGTGGTCAATTTGATCCAGGTGAAACAGACCTACAAAAATAAAAGTTTTCTTAAAAAATGATACATCAAGCTAATCTTCAGCTAACTTCCAATTATATCTTTCAAGTAAAAAGAATATAAACAAAACATATAACTATTTTTTTAGACAAGTAATTGATAAATTTAGCAGAAACTTCTAAATTTGAATATTAAGTAATATATCTGTCTATGTAAATAAATAATTTTATTTATATAAATTCATTCTAAAAATAACAGTAAACATTAGCTTTTTAGTCAATATACGAGTAACTCTACACTTTGTTAGTTCTTTCTATGTTAGTTATTTCTTTCTCAATAATATTTTTTCACATGTAAACAAGTGTAAATATATTGTTTTATTATAGATAAAATTCAAAATAATAATATAAAATAGTAATGTATGGCATCGTGCCTTAAAGCAAATTGCTGGAACTTCCCGTACCGTAACGAAATGATCGAGCAATATTAAATGTTTTCATATAGATTTTTATAAATATTGTAATATTGTCTAATATTTATAAGAATTACATAAACTGAATAGCAAAGTTGAAATTATTTATTTAAAGTATATTAGAACAGAATTAAAATTAAAATCTGAATTATTTTCGATATACAAAAAAAATATTTTCTTGAAAAAAAAAATTAGAAACAAAAACTATTTTTTCCAAAAGCAATTCTTTTGTTGAATCAAGCAGAAAGTTCTTTGAATAATTTAAATTGGACGCTTAGTACTCTCAAAACCTGCCATTTTTTGCACATTGACCTGCCTTTGGTAAAAACTAATCACCTCTTCTCCTAATCATTACAAAATAAATGTTTTTTAGATAATTCAAATCGGATACTCCGTTCTCTCAAAAACCGACCTGTATTTTCTGCACTACAGTGATATGCTGAAAACATTCATACAGAGTAAAGCGTATTTGCTCTATATTTACCCCCATGAAAACACATAAAGGGTATTTTTTATATTATCTAATAGTTGGTTGGTTTGATTATTAAACCTCTCATTCAGAGAATTCGAGGTTTCCAAAATTTATTAGCGAATACACGCTACGTAAGGAATAAAAATATAGTTTTAAGAGGTTTTTCATTCTTATTTGATGACTTCTATGCAGTACTTCGCGGCACGAGTTACAAATTGAAAGAATGAATGTTATTATACATTCCTGCATTACCGACATTATTGTATTATATTTTTACACCAGTTTAATTAATTATTAGCAGTGGTGTTGTGCTAATATTTTTTTGCCGGAACGCTAAAATTAAAAAACCGGTTCAAAAAACGGTTCTCACGTTTGTTCCGGTTCCGTTCGAAAAGAAAAGAAACAAAAATCATTACAAAATCCATTTTGTGCACATATATGTATGTTTATTACAATAATAGGAAGGTTTAATAAAAATTAGTTAGATTATAATTTATAAAATTCATTTATTAAATCACTTTCTGTATGTAGCGATTTTTTTGTGAATTTCTTTTGCCGGAACGCGTTCCGGCCCAAAAGTAATTTGCCGGAACGACGTTTGGTAAATGATGTATAACCAGCCATAACCTTCATTCTTACCATGTAGCTATCGACAGATAAATGGCAATATTTGAAAATTTATAACAAAGATTTTCTTTTGTTGTTTTTCATGTTGTGAGCACTATTGTTTAGTTTACGATACCTTAATATAATTTTTGACACGCGAATGACACATGAAATTGTCAATCTTTACGAATCAAAAAATATGGTAATTTTAACTTTGAGATCCAAGCAATAAAAACTTAAATAAAAAATGTTTCGAAAGTAAATAGAAAGTAATTAGGTAAAATTAAATATAAACTAATGTCCTTACACTATGAAATTGCTTTACTAATATTTAGCATCATTATTAGGTCATTTAATAAAAAAATTAACCCTAATTCGTAGTTATGCAGAAACATATAATTAACTTCCCGTAGGGAAGTTATAGTAATCGCAAAAAAATCGAAAATGAAAATTTTTATATATCTTTACGTTTCAGAGGTTTCTGAATATTCTGGCATACCTCAGAAAAAATGGTTTTATGTGTGTGTATGTGTGTGCGTGTGTGTATGTGTGTTCGGATACAAATTTTCGTCGACGATTTCGGGAACACGGATGAAGCGATTTGAATAATTCAAAAAAACATTCGATTCGTATTGATAAGGAGACGCGCTGATTAGTTTTTGGCAAAAGCAGGTCTAGCCGTTCCAAAGATATGGGGCAAAAAGTGCCAAAAACGGTAACTCAGTTTTTAAGAGAACGGAGCGTCCGATTTGAATAATTCAAAAAACAAAACAATTCACACAACAACACACTCGTATTAATAAGATGAAGAACTGATCAAATTTTTATGAAGGCAGGCCTAGCGGTTTCGGAGATCTAGTAAAAAAAGTAGAAAAAAATGCCACCTGGAGGTCAAAAATGATCATTAGACATATGCACATTAAATTATCAGATATTTTATAGAGATTTTAACAATAAGTATAAATTTTGTTTACATTTCTATGGGTTTGAACCAATGTTAGACGGCGATGCGGCGCTTACGCGCTTCGACATTCATCTCTATGCAGTTAAAGCAGTACGATTGCTTTTCTTCAAAAAGTCTTTTTTTTCAATACAAAGTAAATTTTTGTCAAAAATTTATAATTTCTCAAAAATCTAATGCACGATGCCATGCGCCTCACTAGTATAAATAAAAGTTTAAAAAAATATAATCAATTAATACCTTTCTCGTTTCCGTCGACGATTACGAAGGATAATCGAGCATTCGGCGTCCTAATATCATCCTCGTCCGAAGCTTTAAGCGTAGTAATGACGTCGTTCGGGTCATGGAATTCAGTCACGTAGACGCAGGACTTCGGAAAATTCGCCACCGGAATTTCATCGTTCACATCATCCACTGTAACGCTTGAAATAGAATTGATTACAAGTATATATGTATGAGTTGAGCTCTAATGGACGGATCGGATGTTACATCAATAAATAATTCATGACTTATTCATACAGTCTTTTTTTAAATCCCCACATTTTGGATCAAGTTGTAGAATTAATTCATTAATAAACAATAATACATATACTACTATAGCATCCATTTAAGTGAATTAAATTTTCAAAATCGGTTTGAAAATTTAATTGTGCATTAATTCAATTGTATATATAATATTTTATTATTAAAATTCTTTCTAAATTAATATTTTCTAAATTTGAATTTGGTTTCTAATCAAATATAACTAGGGTAAAGCGAGGCACAAAGATCCACTTCAAGTAATTATACTATCCAAACCAAATAAACTACATCCCAACCATAACACGTATCAAAAAACAACTATCAACCTGTGTTCAATAAAATTCCCAGTTAATTCCTAATTACAAAAATATGGCTTTACTTTACTATTTTTTCTAAAACTTGTCATCTGTCTTCTTTTACATCATAGACTTGGCAAAAAAGTACAGCCAAGGGCAAACAGATTACATATCTTATTTATTACGTAATAATAGCTACAATACTCAATCAACGCGCCATTTCATAGAAACATCTAAAAAAAAATATTTTTGTTATGAATATTAATACGTGGCCTGTTGATGACGTCATAGGAACAAGATGATAGCAGGTTAAACATCTTTTGCCTTCTACTTTAAAATACTATCGTTAAAAAATTCTATACTTGTTTTTGAGATAATGGTAGTTGACCTTTTTACCCAAGCCCTGCTTTACCCTGCAAACAATTTAAAATCTATCAACAAATTTAGAGAAGTTTATGTTTTTGCCACAAGAACCCATTTACTAATTTTATATTTCTTCGATCTTTGTAAAAATAAAAAAAAAATTAAACTTTCGCCGACGTTTTCTCAAATACGGTTGCTTCAAAACTTTAAAAGCTATTCGATGAAACTCAATAAGAATTTAGACTGACTAGATCTGCGTGACGATCATATAAGCCGTTTTTTATAATTAAATTTAAAATTATTATTGAAAATTATCAAATTCGTCGTCCATGTTTTCGCAAAAGATTCTGAACCGTTTTTAAAAACTTTAAAACTAGTAGAAAAATATGAATTAAAAATCACGTTTTTAGTAATGATCGTCTTAGCCATCTTTGGCCATTTGGATAAAACTTTTAATACGATAGAGTTCATGGTCTTAACGAATATTATAAAATAATTATTATAGACCTACAAAAAATGGTTTAATTATATAATTTATAGAAGTTCAAAATAATGGTATAAATATAAAATTTTGCAATAAAAGAGCGTGTCAAAAATTCAAAATTTTAACGTCACAATGTTAAAAGAAGATCAATTCTTATTGATTAAGTCGGTAACATATAATTTTTATTCTTTCATTTTATTTATTTTCTGTGCAATGATTATCTGGAGATTTAACAATTATTTGTTAAAAAATGTGTATAATTATGTATAAAATCATGAGTTTTTAGTTATCCCATTATCCAGCATTAAATTGAATTCGTCATGTCTAAACAATGTCATAATTGTCATTAACCATTTATAACTATGAAGTACAATGATTTGTTAGTAGTGACCTCATATAATAATTATAGAGAAGGGTAGCATCAAACATAGGAATGCATTATTCAAAACTGACATAATTGGTAATCTACCATCTCTATAATCTAGATATGAGCAGATATACGTAAGGTAAGGATAGATAAACAGGCTTTTATCACATGAGAATAGAACCTTACTTATATTACATAAGCTTACATTGTTATATCGTTATTTTCTTTAAACATATAATTATTAATATTTAATACGTACAATATTTGTTTGAAAGCATTTCGACTTTCTCCACTGGCATATCCATATTCATAATTATCCCAAGCTTCAATGACAAGAACGTAATTGTCTTTAATCTCACGATCCAATTTTCCATTTAACGACAAGACACCGGTATCAGCGTCTATTGCAAATTTGCCCTAAAAAGACGTATTTGTGAATATATTTTTATCAAATTATTTGAAGAATAAAAAGACATTGAAATCAGCAAAGTCTTAATGATTATAACAGTAAAATATATGAAAAAAAAATTATCTGTAAATAAATAAGTTTAATAAATGGTAATCATAGTACCTGAGAGGACGTGCGATCCAAAGCATAAGTAATTTTTCCAAATGCGTCAGAATCTGGATCTTGAGCCAAAACGGTAATAACTTCATTTCCCACTTCGAAATTTTCAGGAATTGTAATATTACTTAGTTCAGTAACAAAATATGGATTATTATCATTTTCATCAAGTATCTAGAATGTTATAATGCTACAGAAATTATAATGGAAGACTATATAAAATATGTAGACTATAGTAAAGTTAGAGAATGACAAAGTTGTTTATAATATATTTTTAGAACAGTGATTACCTGAATGAATAAATCAACAAGACTGAATCTCGGTGGCACACCTGAGTCAGTAGCCCTTGCTGTTAAGTTTAGCCAAGTAAATTGCTCATGATCTATTTTATTCGCAACGACGATTTCTCCAGTTACATTATCCAGATGTATCAATTTTTTCATATTGTCAGGACCTGCAAAAATCATGTGCGAATGCATGAACGAAAAAGCGTTTATTTTTATATTATTACTATAATATATAATCACTTTATATTCTCTTAATCATTTAAAAAATAACCACTTAGGGTAAATGTGAATGAAGTGAAATTGTCATTATTTTAATAAAGCATCACTTTGTAACTAAAATAAATATATGTATTTCTATAAAATATTGGAGAAAGGTCGGACAAAGCTTGAACAGCTATGAAGTCTTACTTAACAACAAAATAATAAGAAAATATCATAAATTTTGTGATTTAATAAACATTTAAAACACGGAAAATTTTTATACTCTATGAATTTATAGTTCAAAACTTAAACAATTAGAAGATTCAAATGTAAAATGCATTATTTTTCAATAAACATAAAAAATAACATATCCAAAAAATCATTTGTTTACAAACCTTCTAAGAGATACGTAACACTTCTATTTTTATCTGCATCATCAGCCACAATATTAACAATGAAGACTCCATTTTTACTGTTTTCAGTTATTGATCTCTTATAAAATAGTTTTCTAAATTCTGGATTATTGTCATTCTCGTCAGCAATCGTTATTGTCAAAACAGCTGCAAAAATAACGTACTTATAAAAATTATATACAATATATATATATATATATATATATATATATATAAAACAACCTATTAGTATTATGGTGAGTGGAATTAATAATAATTTTATAAATATAATCATATTACTATTTTTGCATCAACTTTATTGAATTATGCTCATGCCACATAGTCTTACAGAGCTAACATAATGTTTGAAAAATTGATCATTATTTAATTTAATTTTTGAAAGTACATAAAATGCTTATGCTAGCCCTATGTTATAATAAAATATAGAACAAACATTGGAGATTGGTCTTTCTTTATTGTACTATAATTATTATTATATGTGCAAGTTTTCTTGTATTCAAAGACAATTTTGAATTAACGAGGCCAAGTTAAAGAATTTTTCATTATGTCAACTGTAAGCACTCCACATGACAGACGTCACGGAAATATAATCTGTTTCTGAAATTGAACTTTTGATTTTCTCAACCACTTTACTTACTTTACAGAATAATTCAGTAGAAAAGTAAAAACAACTTGGATTATACAGCGGCAAAGTGCTATTAATTTTGGTTTTAAAATCTGGCCGAATAGGATTGTTCAATATTCGTCTATTTCAGCAGGAGTTTGTCGAATAGTCGGTATTTATATATAGGATAGAGCAAAGCTTAAAGGTCCGTTTATGGCAGTATGTTTTTCATAGCTCTTTTCATACTTATATAAGTTAATTGAAACAAATACATATATATGCAAACAATATTAAATTATGATAGTATAATGATATTTCCAGAATAGGTATAATAATAATTTGTATCTTTATGTAAAAATCAATGTATATATTTAAGTTAAATAAAGCAAATTTTCAAATTAAAAAAAATTTAAAGGTCCGCAAATAAAAAGGTTCACCATCGATATCTCAAAAACCAGTAAAATTATGAATTTTTACATCTGGGTGTGATAAAAAGAACCAATTATACCTTTGCTCTAGCAAATTAAGTTCACAAAGCAATGTTACAAGAGATAAATTAAATAAATAGTTATTCAAACTCTGATGAAGAATATTTTTGACAAAATACCAGATTAAGGTTAGTCACAGTGTTAAAATGAATTTTATATCTTGCATTGATTGAATAATGTAGCTAATATTTTGTGAATCCCTTTAAAATTAAAATTAGTGATTGGACCTGTTTGCATCCTGGTTTTTGCAATTTACCCTGTCTATGGAGTAAAAAAAACAAGTTAAAAATTTCAGAAAAATAATAAAAAATACATTTCTACAATGAAGAATTAGCTGGTGGCGAGCATAGCTCTTTGGTAGCGTGTTCGATTCACACGACAGGGATCTTCGGATCAAATCCTGTCAATGACTTAGAATTTATGAAAAAAAATATGTGTAGAAATCAAATAAAATTGTACTTGTTAAATAGAATTTGAATAAAAATTAGGAAAATTAGGATTAACAGAATTCGAATAGTTGAATTGAATTAGGAGTAAGAAGAGAAATATAGGAACTTGAAAGAAGAATGGAGAAAAATAAAAATGGAATGAAGCTGGGAAGTTAAATAGAATTAGAAATTTAAAAAAAAGAGCAAAAATTGAAGAAAATAAGAAGAAGAAAAATTAAGAAGAATATAGAATAGGATACATAAATAGATTGAAAATGATATAAATTAGAATGTAAATAAATAAAAATGTTGTAGGTGGCTAAATGCTCAGAGTAAGCGAAGCCAAATAAAAAAAAAAGAAGAATATTAGCTGGGAGTTTTACTGAACATAGTCAGATAGTTGTTTGTGTGATATGTGTTATTTGTTGTGATATAGGTAATTGGTTTGGTTTTCACAATATAATTGCTCAAAGTCAAATTGGGCCTATGTACCCTGGCCTACCCTTCGTGTGTTTATCAATATATGAATCGATTGTTAAAGTAAGTAAAATGTACCTGTTGCAGTTTGTCGTCCTGCCACAGCTGCCGTGTCTTCAACAGTTACAACCAGCTTTATGAGTTCCGCTTGTTCCCTATCTGGTGGGCGCGCCACTCTCAAAGTTCCGTCCAGGGGATCAAGTTCAAAGGCAGATTTCAATTCGTATTCCTCTGGTCTTAGCAAACGACCATTCTCTGCACGAGCTTCCGATTGATACGTATCAATGGCATAACGTAATGACGGCCGCTCATCTTTATCATCGGCAATTAATTGATAAACTTCTGTTCCCACCTGGATAAATACAAGTGGTAAAGTGAAACAAATACAAGTTATACCAGAGTTTCTAAATAAAGAGGCGTTCATTAATCACGTGAGCAAGTTTTTAAGGATTTTTGGAGACCCCTTCTCCATTGGTAATACATGGTGATATTCAAAGTTAATGTGATGTAACTGTAAAATTTTTGATTTTTTTTGAAAATGTTTGAATTTTTAAAAAAAAAATCAGTTAAAAAAATACACCTGATATCTTACTATACCCCTACCTCCCTATGTATAACACACTAAGAGTTAAACCTATATATATCTGATTTGATATCTTGGTTATGTCATATAGGGTCCGGCAGAAATAATGGATAGATTTCCGACGACCATTGTTTCTATATTAAATTAACCGATTTGAATAATTCAAAAAACATTTTACTTGATTCCTATTGATATGGAGACGTGCTGATTAGGTTTTGGCAAAAGCAGGTCTAGCCGTTTCAGAGGTACTGGGAAAAAAGTGCCAAAAATGGTATTTCAGTTTTTGAGATAACGGAGCATCCGATTTAAATAAATCAAAAAACATTTTACTTGCATTGACGTAATGAACAACTGGTTGTTAAAGCAGGTAAAGTTTTTCCTAATAATTTAGTTTTTAGTACGGAAAGTTCCAGCAACTCCCCTTAAGGCACAATGCCATGCACCACTAGTTATAAAATAGAATACTATATTTATTTTGGATAATTAAACTAAAATTAGATACTAACCATGTTGATTTAGCAAAACTAACAAAAATATTATTCAATTATCTTTTGAATAAAATCAGAGAGAAAATATTATATTTAAAATGAATGATAATTATTATATAATTATTATACAATTTATATATCAAATATATGATAATTTTAAAAAAAATGCTATAATTTGGGATATTTAATCAAAAATACTGGCTAACTATCTGTATATATTATCTCTATATATTTATCCACTTTTAACATTTTTTAACAATTAGGAGATTATAAAAAAAATCCATATTACCTGCGTGTTTTCCTTGATAAGAATATCTTCAACAGCCCGAAATACTGGTGGTTTGTTATTTACATCTATGATGGAAATATTAACATGTGCCGTAGATTTGAGCTGGCGTTCTATGCCGTTATCGATTGCTACCTATTACAAAAGTTTGTAGTATACAATCAGATTTGTTATATACTCTTATTAAATTAATATTCAATTTTGTGCAATTTTGCGCAATAAATATATAGCTAAATATTTAATAAACATAATATATTATTTCTGATTTGAATAGGTATATACCTACTATAGCTTGTTAGCTTACCACAGTCAATGTATACAGAGTGGTTTTAGGTTCCGTTAAATCAGGATCTAAAGAAGCACCTGGAGCTATTGAAATAATTCCAGTATCCGGTTCAATAATAAATTTATCTTTAGCCCCACTTTGTATTCTGTATACTATTTGATTATTTGGCGAAGATCCATCATTGTCAAACGCATTGATCTATAAAAAATAAAATTTATGATGCTCTGATTGTTAAATGCATATTAATATTCTTACTATAAAATTATAACATTTCAATTATATTCATATTAAAACATTTTCAAATTTCTTAACTCTTTCACATCATTTATCTCATTTTATTTATTATTTTATAATACGAGTAGAAAGTTCTACTAAACAATACTGTTTGAAAAAAATATGAAATTCATTTTTGCTGCTTACATCTAGGATGTTTGTGCCAGGCAAGACGTCTTCAGAAATAGATCTTTTGTAGGTGACTTGTTGAAATTGAGGCGAATGATCATTCACATCTTGCACATATATTACCACAGGTACTTTTGACCACAAATTGGGGCTGCCAAGATCCTTGGCTCTCACCTACGTAATTAATTTAAATAATTAGATATTTAATTAACAATTAAATAGATATTTAAGAAACATATATTTCATATATCTGATTTATCTAATTTTCGTATCCGAACGATAATATCAATATATAGGACATTTAACAGAATTACAAAATTTTATATCTGTCTTGTTATTCAAACTGGAATAAAAGCCAGAAAATTAATTTGTCGCAAATATATAAAATCGTTGCAGAAAAATCAAACTGATTGTCAGTTATAGATTACATCACATCACATATCGAAATATATTCATCATAAAAATTAATATTGATTGAAATTAAATTATTTAAAGAAAAATATGAATTATCAATAATTATCATGCAAAAATCTAAAGGATTTTCTTGGCTTCGATAACAGTTTGTGGTCTAATTCTAAGTCTGATTTTATTGTAAGAACAATATTCAACATTGAAAGTATAATAGTAAGTGTAATAAAAGTAATAATGAGTAGTAAGTGTTATAAAAGTGTAATAGTAATAATTACAAAAATATATTTATATATATTATATGGTTATGTAAATAAAAGCATATACATTTCATATTACTCACAGTTAAATAAATTGGCCGAATGTAAGCCGTAGTATTTTCTAATGCCTCAAAGTCCAAAGGCGTCGTTGGAGTTAAAATACCATTCTTTTTATCTATTGTGAAATTGGCCATATATTCACCATCTAATATATCAAATTCAATACTACTGTTTTCGGTGCCTAAAAATTTAATAAACATTTAGAAATGTGTGCGTATACTCATATACACTAAATACGCATTTAACTATGTCATTTTATGAATACCATTAAGATCAGCGTCTGTAGCTTCCAAAACCAATGGCATTTCAAAATTGATCTCATTCTCTCGAATTCTGGCTTCATATTTTGTTAATCTAAATACGGGTGCGTTATCATTCACGTCCAACACATTTATTACCAATTGGACATTATTTCTATTTCCGTCTCCGAGATCATCTCGAGCTTCAACAGTTAAGTAATGTTTTGAGGCGAGTTCTCGATCAAGCCCAATTAGGCTTGAACGATTTTCCGAACTTTTATAATGGCCATCAGAGTTATCCATTGAACGAATTGTGATGATTCCTGATATCGGATGTAGTGATAATCTGTTTTTAAACAACATTATTAAGAGTAAGATTAAGAGTAAGATTATTAAGAGATATAAAATATATTTTTTCATGAGCACTTGTGAAACATAGATCATGTAGTAAACTTATAAGTAAACAGGCAGGTTATACACTATCATGTGACTCTATATCACTATTTGCTTAAATATGTTTTATGTTAATGCTATTATTACTGTTAATGCAGAGATCAGTGTGACAATGACAATCAACATCTGACAGGACTGTGAAAATATCTTTCTTCGTGTTACACAGTTGCGGAAACCTTACTAAAACTGGCCGATTTTTAAATAAGGCCACTATGTCAATTTGTTCATATATACGCATTGCCGTATTTCCCCTACGTTAAATTATATTTTATTTGTCGAAATGACATCATCGAAAATTTTGAACATTTTTTTAAACCACTTACAAATGGGAAATGCTTCCTCCAAGCGAGGTGTAACGAATGCCTCTGGTGCCGAAGTTGTTCTCATCATCGTCCTCGGCGTGAACTTTTGCAATTGTTGTTCCAGGTGGAGCATTTTCTGCAACTGATGCTTCATAGATTGATTCTTCAAATTCTGGATAGTTGTCATTTTGATCTCTTATATACACATTCACTGCAACTCGGCTAAAATTAGTACATAAAATACATGGTCTGTTCAAAAAGTACCCGGAATTACTAATAATTAAATTTCGCGGGTCTGGAGTGTCTGATTGTCAAAATTTTTTTTTTATTGTGTTGGTATACATGCCCCTAAAGTATGATGAAATTTTCAGCTATATTCACTGTTTACTTTGTCTGTGGTAGTCGCTAAGGTTCGACGTGTTTTTCTGAGCTCGGCGATTTTTACAATGGAAGAATTGAAAAAGTCAAAGAATTTGTATTAAATTTTGCGTAAAAAATGAAATAAAGTGTTGCAAAGTGCAAAAATTCACCAGATATGGCTCCGTGTGACTTTTTCCTATTCCCAAAGTTGAAGAGACCCATGAAAGGACGGCGGTTTTCCTCGATTGAAGAAAATCGCCGAGAGTGCTCAAGGACATATCAAAAAGTGAATATCAAGGGTGCTTCGAAAATTGGAAAAAACGCTGGCATAAGTGTATTATATCTGGGGGGGACTACTTTGAAGGGGACCACATTAATGTAGACGAATAAATAAATATTTTTTTGAAAAAACGAAAATTACGAAAACTTTTTGAACAGACCTCGTATGTCTCAAAAATATTAAATTAATAAAATTAACTAACTTCAATATTTTCAGAATATGATGCTGTTTGTGCATCTGTAGAAGAATCACGTATACAAAATTCTAAATTATATTATATAGTTATAATACTAACAATACGCTTATTTATTTATTCCAAAAATTATATCTCAATTATTTAAATTTCTACATGAATATTATTCAAATACAAAACACAGAAATAAAAACTAACAATAGGAACAATTGCAAGCGATAGTTAATAATATATCAAATTTGTTAGAACTGCAAGTAAATATCTAAAGTTGTCGATTAAAAATTGTATAAATTACAATAAGTAAAAATATTTTTCAGTCATATAATTATAGTAATATAAAATTTGATTTACCTTTCTTTAGGGTTTGATGTCATCTCCCTAGCAACAATAGTAAAATTCAACATTTTTACCATTTCATAATCCAGAAATTTTGGCTCACGCACTCTTATTAAAAAACTAGCTTCGTTATAACATCGTTTCGGAGTTATATCAAATATTTCTTTGTCATCTTCCAGAAACAATTCGAAAGTCCCATTGGCACCCTAAAATATACATGTAATAGATTTATTAGATTATTAGGCAAGTAAAAACATGACTAAATATTCTTGTATAATATGAAATTTATATAAATATATATATATATATAAATATATATATATATATAAATATATATATATATATATATATATACAAAGTCAATTAAATTTTGGATGGTAGGTGACTAATTTTCATCATTTTACGTATCAAATTCCCTGATTATTCGATTTTTAAAAAAAATAATGTTCACATGTGTTGGTTTTAGCAACATAGTGTTAAGTAGACTAGTTGAAACAAATTTATATCTACTATGTCTATACAGTAAATTACCGAAGGTCCTAGTTTGCACATTGAGTTATTATCTATTGTCGATATGATTTATGAATTATATTTAAATTCGTGAGGATCTGAGTTTTAGCTCACTTGTAACATGTCGTTCACAAAGTTCACAACATTGCTTTCTTGGTCAAATATTTTTTCAAATGCGTCGTTTTCTTTATTTATGCGCCTATTATTATTTCGAGATCAATTACACAAGTCCACAAAACAAAAAAAAGTTATCTGTATACCCAATACAGTTTGCAAATTACTGCTGAATTATACAAAAAAACTCAATAAATTATTTAATTGAAACTCAATAGTCATTTAAGGTAAAAAGGACTAGGACGACAGAAATTATGAGATTTTGATTATTATGCAGAATTATCATTAGATCGAAGATTTTGCCGTTTCTTTAATTTTATTCAATTTTTTACCATTTGACCTCCAATATTATCTTTAGGTTTGTGTTTAGCGGTAAAAACTGCATTGAAAAACTGCCGAAACATATGCCGCGCACCCAATACAGACAACTATTTTTATTTTGTGGACCTGTGTTATTAGTAGTAAGGACTTTAAAATTCTGCTTACATTCCAACAGAGACCTGAATCATGTGTTTTTAAGCTGTTTTTGTTGTACATCCTAACCTACATGACATCCTTTTATGTGTATATTATATTAGATATGCACATCTAATAATGATAGACATATATATGTAGCCCTCGATAGGCCATTTACACTTGAGATCATATTTGGTATCTATAACCTCAAGTAAAAATCTGACATCATACTACTTGTCATTAAGATCTAACCACAAATTAGCGTTGACTAGTGCATGTTCTTTAGCATTATTTTACTGCTGATTTAGATTTAAAGAATAATTATTTCAAGTAAATACTATACCTGATCGTGATCAAAAATTTCTGGGATAGCATTTCCGAGGTAAGTCAGAGGTGTATTCGTCTGAGCATTTTCGTTAACTTCGCAGTCATATCTGTCCGAGCGAAATGTTGGAGTTTCATCATTAACATCGGTCACTATAACCGTCACCTGCACGGAAGTACGAGGCGGTAGGCCAATGCATTCGGAACCACATATCTCGAAGGCTTCAATTCGTAAGGTGTGTGCACCTAAAAGTAAAATGCAATCAATGGAGCAGATGAATAGATTGCATTAGTAAAATAATTTTAATTTGATTAACATTGTTGCTGGCTTTCTTGAGTACTCGATGCATAACTGATAATTGTAATCTACAAGCATGGTCAAAGTGACTTTGCTAGAACTCACTCGTATATCAAACACTCCTTTATAATAATAATACTATATGAACATTTGGAGTGCAGTTTGTTTTCAAAAAAGCCCATAAAAATAATTTGAGTACTTTAACTAGTTTATACCCGAAGTCTCGACCATCAAATACCTTGGTATTTATTTGGACCGAAAACTAAACAGGATGCAATATATAAACCAAAAATTAAATAGCTGCAAAGCAAAGTCAGGTCACTCTATTGGCTAATAGGACGTTACTCTAAGCTATCTCTGAACAATAAAGTTCTTATTTGCAAAGCTTCCACAAAACCTATTTGGACCTATGGAGTCGAGCCCTGGGGATGCGCCAGTAAAACATGAATCAAAACCTTACAGAGACAACAATAAAAAATTTAGGACTCATCACAAACGCGCCATGGTGTGTATGGCCTCCATATCGAAAAAGTACAAGAAGTGATCAGCAAAATAAACACATCCCACTTTGCCCGGCTTCATAACCACGTAAACTCAATCATACAACCGCTGCTGTTGGACTCCCAACCCAGCAGACTGGAGAAGAAACAATCAAAAGATCTTTTTTAAGTAACTAGTAACCTTCAATTGAGGGTGGGTTATCTACCATGCCAACTTTTTATCCTCAAGTAAAATACTACTTGAGTTAATATTAAGCCAAACAGCCATAGAATAACAATATGTTCTGATTGCTGTTAAACAATGTTAAAAAAAAGTTTTTTAACTTACTTTAACTGTTGACACAACTTATAATCAATATATATCACAATATATTGATAATATTATGTCATAAACCCTCACTGAAAAAAATTACATGAATAATTTTATTTGTGTATAAACATATGATTTTAATTGCTTATACGACCTTCGTAAATAATGTTTTATTGAATTTTAAATAAAAAATAAACGTATGTATATAATACTAATGCCAATAATATTATATTTCATATTATAATACACATCAGAAAGTAATATAGCTAATAAGTAAAGAAATAGCTAATCAATCAAATAATTAATTAATTTACTGTTATAATAGATATTACAATATATTGTTAGTATGAATGAATATTTACCATCGTCGCCGTATGATGAAGTCGCTTCTCTATCCAAATTAGCACGAGTCAAAATTGCACCAGTAGAATTATTTATTTCAAAATAGTCGGATTCACTAACCAGACGATAACTAATTGTGCGGTTAATTCCACGATCTCCATCGATTGCTTTAACTGCAAAAATATATGCTGATTAGTATATATAAGTATTAAAGTAGCTTACAAAAATCCTACATATTCAAACCATGAAATAAAAATAAATTAAAGATAAGAATGCATACGTTTAACTATAATAAGCCACAAGTCATTTATCATATCTATCATGTATATCATTTTAAAACAACGAAATACAAGTTACCCTTGTTAATATTCAGAAGTGATTTTGTTGACAATGTGGAATATTGTGAAACATAAAAAAATCTAAGCGTTGTATGATATATAATATGAAAATTACTGCACATAAAACATGTAAAGCATCTTATTAGGAACGTCATATGACAGTTACACAATGCTAATTAATAATTGTATAATATAAAACCTCTATAATAAGCCCTCTATGTATGTCATGCCATAAAATACTGTTAGAAATTGAAATGTTAGAAATCTTTAAAATAGTAGAAAGGTAATAAAATAGATTAAAATCATAATGCACAATGTTTTTATATCTAATTCATATGGTGCATTCAATTGTACTGCAAAGATAATAAATTAATGTTTATTGGTAAAACAATGATTGAAGCTTGACCTCTTAAGACTTCTGTCCCGAGTTCGGCGTCCTCCGGAATTCTGCTCAAGGCTGGTGCGAAAACAAATTCTGGTGGCGTGTCTTCGACATCCTGCACCCTAACCAGCAGCATCGTGGTCGCCGTATTGACTTTCCCTCGACTTGCTCGATCCACGGCCAAAATTCGAAGCTGGTAGGACTGCCTTCGTTCGTAATCCAAAGAACCGACTAATCGAATTACGCCATTTCCACCTTGGGTGGTTATTGTAAATAGACCCTGATCTAATTTATCAGTTGAATCCAAGTCTTGAAGATAGTATAGCACCTGTAAATGGTTAGATGAAAATTGTAAATTTACGTACAAAACAACATTATTGATTGGACAAAACAAAAGAATTAAATCAATTTATCGTTTATTAAAAAATTAATTAATTATATAATTCTGCAGAAGGGCTGGGTTTGATCCTGTTTTGAGTAAGCTCTGATGTCAAGCAATAGGGACATCGGTATTCACTTGAAAATATAGATATAGTAGTAGTAATATATTTCCCAGTGAAAATAGTGCTTAGTAAATAGAAAAGCTATCATGGGATTGCTGTCTAATAGCGTCTAATATAAAAACAAATTATATCTCAGATAGTAAAGACAACCAATGAACCGCCTGCTAATAACTTTGTTTTTAGCTGCTCAATTAGCAACTTATAAAACATGCAATAGATCTCATTGCAGTTAAAATACGAATATAAAAAATTATATAATTCTTACATATCTTGGATTCAAACTCATTTTTATATAATATAATATAATATAATATGATATAAAAAATACTGAAAGTTCTATAAAGGTGAAGTAAAATGTAAGCAGTGCTGTCGTTGTTGAATCACCAATCACCAATAGCAATAGTGTTTGCTATTGAGATATAGAAATATTATTTAATGTGGAAGCATTTGTTCATAATTAAAATAAATGATTATTAATTTGTTGAAAATAGCTGTAATAAATTATAATCGAAATGATAATAAATAATGCTTTTCCAAATATTTTTTTTAGAAACAAATGCTTTCTCCTTAAACGGCGCTTCCAGTTTAACAGTCCATCCATATTATTATATATGTAAATTAAAAGACTGTAGATAATTCAAAATAAAAACTACAAAATAAATATAGACCAAAAAATTATTGCAAACCTGTCCATAAGCGCCTTCATCTTTGTCAGAAGCAGTTATAGCAGTGAGAATACCAGGCGCTGAATTTTCAGGAATACTGAATTCGCCCTGATGTTGTAAAAATGTTGGAGAATTATCATTTATATCTTCTACAACAATTATTAATCGTTGTTTAATAAAAGAACCATCGCCTAAACGGCCGTCGGTTAACGTTAGCACCAGTACGTATTCGTCCTGTACCTGGAATTTCAATTATAGATCAGAAGTCCAATTTGTTTAAATAAAAATTTAAAAATCACAAGTTTATTTTGAGTTTGATATATTTTGTCTAAAATTTCGTGATTGTTTAAAATTAACCTATCTTTAAAATTCTGCATAATTTTCTTCATAATTACCTTTAGCAAGTTTGTCTACTTTATTTCACGAAATTTAGAATTCACAATTATGTTTTTGGATCAAATTTTTTAAATATATATAGTAATATTATAATTAAAAAAAAACATTCAAAATTCGGAACAAAATACTTGTATTCTGGAGAAATTTTGCTTCAAGAAAAACCAGGATGCAAGGTGGAAATCCTGGACCATCAGACTAATCCGGGACTTATATTGAACCTTATTAACAAATTCTTAAGCAATTATTACTCACCTCTCTATCTAACTCCTTAGCTAAATATATTTCAGCTACATTAAGTCCTACATTTTCAATGCGAACAATATCGCTATCCACCTGCTTTTTTATTCCAAAACTTAACGAATCACCATCTGGATCGTATCCCTTTAATGTGTGAATTAATGATCCTAAAAATAATAATATATTTACTAAAACGCTAAAAAAGTGAAGAAAAATTAATAAAATGTAAAATAATTATAAAACGAATGAAATGTGAATGAAGAACAAATAAACGAAAATGCGGCGTTTCAAGAGAATAGAGTTTTATTTACATCTTCCTTATTGCAAACGCTCTTTTTATTGTTTAACGCGGCAACATTTCTCTGTGCAGGATTTAACATTTGCAAAACATTAATCAAAATTTTATAACAACTTCAATGCTATTAAAACTATATTGTATGACAATGGATCAAATGGGGGATTTTGAACAACTATTATACGATGTTAATATGTCATTGTTCCGCAACTATAATCACTTATATATGTATAATATACATATACATATATATTTATATATATACATATATATATATATATATATATATATATATATATTTCTTAGAAATCTTTCGGTTGGAACAATACGTGCATCTTCTTCCTTGGCATACCATAGTAAACTAGTTGAAGGTGCATTTAGCCTGAAGGCAAGTTGCATGAACTTCCCGAAATGTGTAAATAGTATACTTAATCGATCCAATTTTAGAATAAGCAACTTGATCTGCCTTTAACAATATTTTTTTATTTTATAATTATTAAGAAATTTATATTTATCACTATCATTGATTATAAAAAAAATATTTTTATTCTTTTTATTATTTTTAATATAATAATCTGAATACATAAGTGGTTCTCATTGTGACAAAATTGTATCGACGCATACGATTATTTTTCCAAATTGTAGAAACGATGATAATTATTATAACTTGATTAAAGTAAAGAATTTCTTGGTCATTTCACGACCTCGGAGACGAAGTATATTTTCTAGGCAGAGGCTTCATATGTTTTTGATTTTTCAAAATCGGTTCGGTAGGATGAGCTTAAATGTGGACGAAAATTTAACACTTTTTTCAACAGTTAATTACAAGAAAACGGCTCGGTAGATTTTCACCTAAAATTAATCAGCATCATTCCCAACTAATATCTTTCGAACAGTTTTTGATTTTTCAAAATCGGTTCGGTAGGATGAGCTTAAATGTGGACGAAAATTTAACACTTTTTTCAACAGTTAATTACAAGAAAACGGCTCGGTAGATTTTCACCTAAAATTAATCAGCATCATTCCCAAATGATATCTTTCGAACAGTTTTTGATTTTCCAAAATCGGTTCGGTAGGATGAGCTTAAATGTGGACGAAAATTTAACACTTTTTTTCAACAGTTAATTACAAGAAAATGGCTCGGTAGATTTTCACCTAAAATTAATCAGTACCATTCCCAACTAATATCTTTCGAACAGTTTTTGATTTTTCAAAATCGGTTCGGTAGGATGAGCTTAAATGTGGACGAAAATTTAACACTTTTTTTTCAACAGTTAATTACAAGAAAACGGCTCGGTAGATTTTCACCTAAAATTAATCAGCATCATTCCCAACTAATATCTTTCGAACAGTTTTTGATTTTTCAAAATCGGTTCGGTAGGATGAGCTTAAATGTGGACGAAAATTTAACACTTTTTTTCAACAGTTAATTACAAGAAAACGGCTCGGTAGATTTTCACCTAAAATTAATCAGCATCATTCCCAAATGATATCTTTCGAACAGTTTTTGATTTTCCAAAATCGGTTCGGTAGGATGAGCTTAAATGTGGACGAAAATTTAACACTTTTTTTCAACAGTTAATTACAAGAAAATGGCTCGGTAGATTTTCACCTAAAATTAATCAGTACCATTCCCAACTAATATCTTTCGAACAGTTTTTGATTTTTCAAAATCGGTTCGGTAGGATGAGCTTAAATGTGGACGAAAATTTAACACTTTTTTTCAACAGTTAATTACAAGAAAACGGCTCGGTAGATTTTCACCTAAAATTAATCAGCATCATTCCCAACTAATATCTTTCGAACAGTTTTTGATTTTTCAAAATCGGTTCGGTAGGATGAGCTTAAATGTGGACGAAAATTTAACACTTTTTTCAACAGTTAATTACAAGAAAACGGCTCGGTAGATTTTCACCTAAAATTAATCAGCATCATTCCCAACTAATATCTTTCGAACAGTTTTTGATTTTTCAAAATCGGTTCGGTAGGATGAGCTTAAATGTGGACGAAAATTTAACACTTTTTTTCAACAGTTAATTACAAGAAAACGGCTCGGTAGATTTTCACCTAAAATTAATCAGCATCATTCCCAACTAATATCTTTCGAACAGTTTTTGATTTTTCAAAATCGGTTCGGTAGGATGAGCTTAAATGTGGACGAAAAGTTTAACACTTTTTTTCAACAGTTAATTACAAGAAAACGGCTCGGTAGATTTTCACCTAAAATTAATCAGCATCATTCCCAAATGATATCTTTCGAACAGTTTTTGATTTTCCAAAATCGGTTCGGTAGGATGAGCTTAAATGTGGACGAAAATTTAACACTTTTTTTCAACAGTTAATTACAAGAAAATGGCTCGGTAGATTTTCACCTAAAATTAATCAGTACCATTCCCAACTAATATCTTTCGAACAGTTTTTGATTTTTCAAAATCGGTTCGGTAGGATGAGCTTAAATGTGGGCGAAAATTTAACACTTTTTTTCAACAGTTAATTACAAGAAAACGGCTCGGTAGATTTTCACCTAAAATTAATCAGCACCATTCCCAACTAATATCTTTCGAACAGTTTTTGATTTTTTAAAATCGTTCGGTAGGATGAGCTTAAATGTGGACGAAAAGTTTTTTTCAAATTACAAAGAAACGGCTTGGCAGATCGTTGCACAAAACTGACAAACGATAGTCCTCACCGAAATACATCAAATGGCTTTTAAATTTCTAAAATCGGTTCAGGCGTTTTTGAGAAAACGTCGATCAAAAGTCTAATTTTGACAAATGCCAAAAAGACCATACTGATTTTTGCAAACTTTGACGAATTTTTAAAGCTAAACCAGTTGTCGTAGGGCCGTAATATTTTAGTATGACCTAGAAAACTATGGTATCTATCGTCAAAAAAATAATCATAAAAATCGTCGAAATTTTTTTTTTTTAAACTTTATTACAAGAAAACGGCCCGGCCGATCTTTACCAAAAACTAATCAGCACGATTCCCAACCAATATCTATCGAACGGTTTTTGAATTTTCAGAATCGATTCAGAGTTGCGGGCTAAAACGTGGACGAAAAATTTTTCACTTTTCTGCAATTTACAAAGAAACGGCCCGGCCGTTCGCCGCACAAAACTCAGAGACGATAGTCCTCATCGAGATACATCAAATGGCTTTTAAATTTTTGAAATCGGTCCAGCGTTTTGGAGAAAACGTCGATTTACGGCAAAAAAATCTGTTCACACACACACACACACACACATACACACACACACACACACACACACACACACACACACATACTTTTTCCAAATTTGGTCTCATTCGATTCAGAATGGCTTGAAACGTCCAGAAAACATAAAATTAGCGATTCGGATTTTTTGATGAAAACATAAACTTCTCCTTCGGGAAGTTAAAAAGAAGTCATGAGTCCTTTAATAAAAAAATATTATATAATATTTAATAAGATGATTAATTTCTGTGATATCTAAGGCCACAACTACATCTGTAGATATAATAACATATATATAAATTATATTTAAAGAACTCAATTTATCTTTTAAATATCAGTATGATTTTCAAAGCGTGTTGTTAATACTACCAATAACTCTAATAAAAACCTATAAATAAGAAACGATTTTTGGGTATTATTATCTGATTTATAGACTGTTTGAATAAAAGTAAAAAAACGTATAAATTTTGGCGAATCAAACTTCAAAAGTTTGATAGTATATTCCCCGTTATTAAGATGAAATTGTTTGAATAATCGTTCTGAAGAAATTTGTACAATATTTAAGTTTTTCAATAAATGATAATTGAAATGTAAAATTTAAGTACAAGTAAGAAATAAAATCATTAGTATAAATTACAATATTTAGAGTGCCTATATAAAATGCATTCAATCAAAACATATTATAATATTTGTGCATTATAAAAAATAAGAAAATCACATTATTAAGTCCTGCACATAAAAATGATATAATGGCAATAAATTAAAATTTTATCCACATTGCATTATTAAAAATTAATAAAAAAAATCGTATACATAAAAATTTTGAATCGAAGCAATTACATTTATCAAATTGTAATTCGAGCAATGTTCATTGAAAAGCAATTTCTTGAAATTTCATAATACATATTAACATCAGGCAAGCATTATATATATGGAAATACAATATAGTTAAAAATACAGATTTGTATAGAAAAAGTACAAACATAATTATCATAAATTTGTGATCATAACATTATGATCATGCTATATTTAATTAATTATATTGCTATATTATTGATGTTTTCATAGTGAACTGTAAATTAAATTTGCGAATTTTACGAATTGAAAAGATATGTCACAATTAAAAAAGAAAAATCTGAGTATTGAGATAAGTGAGATAAAATTGTGTGCGAATTATTCTTTAAAAAGTAGGTAATATGTGATCATATTTTTAATTCCTTGCAACAATCCTAATAACGGCTATTTTCATATAAAATTGTATTTAAATCTATATTGGCAGTTAAAAGAATATCTCGATATCACGTTGTCCGAGTAGAGAATTGAAACTGGAAACTTGAATTTGTAAGCCCAAAGCCTTTACCATAATGTTAAAAACAAGCCAAAATTTTATACATGTACAATATTATAGTAGAGTAGAACGGGGCTCAAAGGTCTACAGGACAAAGATCTACTACCATTATTTCAAAAACAAGTAAATGGTATTTTTAATAATATCATTAACAAAATGTGTAACCAGCCATTGCCTTAAATCGGGCGACATTGCTATCATTTTTTTCGTTGTTAGTTTTGTTGGTTATGAGAACGGTTAATTGCTTAGTTTACAAATTTTTAAGTATATGTTATTCAATTGTTTTATAAGGTGTGTTTTTACTTTTAAATTATATTGAATAGCACTTTTTATATAATCACTATAAAATCTTACATATGGTTGGAGTAAAAAGCTCAGTTTTCCTTTACCATGCCAATTGGAAAAAATTGCCAGATGACAAAGGTTAGAAAAATCGTAAAAAAAACATTTTTACAATGATTAGTTAGGCGGTATTTTAATGAACACAGTTCGATAGATATTTGTTTGATATGTGTTAGTTATTCTGATATAGTTGCTCTAGTTTTCACAGAATAACTACTAATAGTCAAATTAGAGCTTTAGCTTCCGCCCTTTCCTAATATGCATTAAGTCAACTTTATACAAATATTGATTAAAAATATAACAATTATCATATAATATCAATATGAATTAATTTAGCTTTTATTTTATTAATTAACATTTGAAGAGTTTAAAGTTAATAAAACTCACCGACTGGGGTTTCAGGTCCCTCTTTCAGTCTTAATACTATTTCTGCTTGACCGTCCACAAATCGCGGTGGCATATTACACTTCACAAGCAGAGCACAATGCACAATTATTATGAAAAGGTAAAGTAACTTCACATGATAAACTTGTTTTAAGCGCACTTTTATGTGAAACACTATACATTTTTCACGCATTTTACACTATTTTGAATGCAAAGGTTACAGCTGGCATAAATTTATCATCTATGAACTATGGCTTTTTTGATCTAACGGCGGATTCCATTTACTTCGTTCCTGAAAAGAATTGAAAAATCGAGTTAAAAAAATTTAAAAAATAAGGGTAAAACGCCCACCATCAATATCTCAAACACCAGTAAATTTACTAAGTTTTCAACAACAATATTTGAAAGTAGAGGGAAAAAGTTGTATATAACCAGCCATTACCCTGATTTTTACACTGTCACTATCAGTAGATAAACGGCAATGGTTGAAAATCCATAATTTAAATCCAATAGTATTTTCTTTCGTTATTAGTTTTTTCAGTTGTGAGCACTGTTGTTTAGTTTGTGAGACCTTAATATAATTTTTAAGTAGACGTTATTTATTTGTTTTATAAAATGTATTGTTGTTTTTAAGTTGAATCCAACAGTTTTTTTTACATAACCTCTATAAAAGCTTACACGTGGGTGGGGTAAAAAAGACCAACTAAACTTTTACCCTGCAAAGGTTTAAACAATAAAAATAGTAAATAAACAAATAAATTCAGTTAAAAAAAAACAATTTTATAACAGATAAATTAAATAAATAGTCATTCCAACTCTGCTGATGAGTATTTCTGACGAAATACCTGATCGAGGTTATATACAGTGTTATCATCTCTAAAAAATGTTGCTATTATTTCGTAAAATTTCTTTAAAATTGAACGTAAGACATTGGACCTACTTGTCTCCTGGATGTCCTATTTACCCCGCATATAGGGATAAAACAATTAGGCAACAATTAAAAAAAAAAAAAAACAGAAAAATAACACATTTCTACAATGATGAATTAGTTGGGAGTTTTACATAGTCAGGTAGTTGGTTAAGTGATAATATGCATTATTTGATGTATATATTGCCATACAAAAATAAAAGTGCTAATTTTTATAATTATTATTTCTCATTAAAATCAAATTAAAATAAAACAATAAGGGTGTCGAATATATTAATTGATAATGAATTAATAATGATTAAATATTATATCAAATATAAAGAAGCGGAGTTGTGTTTTGATAATACAATGACAAATTAACCTCATTTTGGAAAACACTTGAAGAATAGCATATGCATAGATTTTAATTATTTTTTCTTTTTTAACATTTAATATTTTCAATCAATTATCTCGAACAATTTTCAAATTTTTCATTGATTTTCATGAAAAGTAGTATTTATACTTGGTACAAAATCCTAGTATTATTAGCAAAATTAACAGATGTTTGCAATCAGTTCAGTTCTTCTTAATACAATGCTGTTGTATTTTATTTTCATTTTAGTTTTTTCATTATAAAAAAGAAATTGCTTGAATAATCCAAGTACACGTGGATTAATATATATAAATAATCTAATCTAATTCAAAACATTTACTCTATATTTTATACAGTAATGAGAAATATTATTGAAATTAGATTACAGTCTAATTGTCGAGCGAAATGAATTCTCTTCTTTGTTTTTGTAATGATTATGACATATATAATTATTATTACTATTACACTAGAGTTATTTGAATGCAAAAAGAAAATTGAATATTAATTTAGTAAAAACGTTTTCATCAATGCAGATAATGATCGCATGACACACAAGAGAAAAATAGGAGGCCTTGAGATATTAAACGCGGGAAGCGAAATTATTCAAATCGAAGTAGATCACAACGATCTATTGTATTTTAATTTAAAAAGACACCTATAGAAAGATGGGATTTCACAAAAGTCTTATCTGACATATATTAAAATATAGCAATAACAAATCACACTCATAAATTATGGTAACGGATTAACTCAGGAATTATTACTTTGGTCAATACTATTAAAATTATTATTCTTCATAATTAGTTATCAATCTTGTTATCTAACTGCTTTGAAATAACTGATTTTTTTATTGAACTAGCCGTTTCAGAAATAACGGCTCATATCATGTGTGAATTTTCACCTTGTAAAGTTGAAGTAATACTGCAATATTTTTCGTTACGTTTCAAATCCTCCGGATAACGAACCCTAAAACTGTGAAATACTTTGATAAATATAAGTTATGTTAATTTTGCCGCCTCAATTATTAAACTAGGTGACAGTGGCATGTTCGCCTTAAAACAAGTTGCAAAAAATTCCTGGTATGAGTATATAATCAACTTAATTGAGATTTAGCAATTGTTAAAATTGTGACGATAGAATTTTGAAATTTTGACACGAGCCATTACTCAAAATTTTTATAATTAAAACACTTTTTGTAGGCCTATACGATTTTAAGAAGTGCGTGATAACCATGAACTCTATAAGCTGATCTTTACCAAAAACTAATCAGCACGATTCCCAATAGTTCATAAATTTTCAAAATCTGTTTAAAATTTTTGGCAAAAACGTGGATAAAAAACTTATGACTTATTATGCTGATTGTGAAGAAACAACTCAGCTAATCGTCTCGCAAAACTAATCAAAGAGAGTCTTCATAGAGTTCATCAAATAACTTTTGAATTTTTTAAATCGTTGCAGCCGTTTTCGAAAAAAGATCGACGAAAGGCAAAATTTAGAATTACTCACAAATACACGAATATATATTTTCGATATGGTTTCGATATTTTTTCAAACTCGATATCAAATGATTCAGAATGATTTGAAACATCTAGGAAACATACAATTAATAAATCAGGTTTTCTGGCGAAACCATATATTCTAAAAAAAACTTGTAATCAAAAAACCCTCGAATACATAAAACTACTTTTTTTGTTTTCAATCTATTTAATCCATACAAAGCTTATTCTCAAGATAGTGCATTGAAATTCTCAATTTTATAATTAAAAATATTACTTTAGATATTAGACTCGTTACCAAAAATATATACCGATTTTGACGAAATTATGCCTACTATTTAAAAAATTTTTCAATTTTTTTATTTTTACTGAAATATTCATTTTGTAAATAAATACTATAATGTAAACACTTCACAGAAAAGCAATTATAAAATCATCTTTTCATCTGAACGAATAGGATAGAGCGGGTAAAAAGTTCTACCACCTATATCTCGAATATAAGTAAAGTTAAATCGAATTTTTTAACAACAATATTTGAAAGTAGAGGGAAAAAGATGTATAACAGGCCATTAAGTTAAAAAAAGCAATTTTATAAGAGATAAATTAAATAAATAGTTATTATAGATCATCGTTATATACAGTGTTATCTCTGTAAAAAATATACCCATAAAATTCATATTATGCATTGGTTGAATGATGTAGCTATTATCTCGTAAAACCCCTTTTAAATTGAAAATAAAACATTGGATCTGTTTTTCTCGTGGCCGTCCTTTTCTACCGTATCTATGAGGTAAAAAGGACCAGGTGACAAATTTTCGAAAAACAGCAAAAAAAGATACATTTCTACAATGAAACAAAACACATTTCAATTAGCTGGGAGTTTTACTGAGCATTGTCGGTTATTTGTTGTGATATGATTAGTTGAGTTTTCATAATAAAATGGCTCAAAGTCCATAATAATATTTCATAAGAAAATGAGGTAAAAAGGACCAGGTGACAAATTTCCAAAAAACAGCAAAAAAATACATTTCTACAATAAAACACATACACACTTCTACTTGAATTAGCTGGAAGTTTTACTGAGCATAGTCAGTTATTTGTTCAAACTACATTTGTCGTCTGCCACAAATTAAATTGGAATTTACAAATAACATTTCCATGATTTAAAAATGATCAATTTTTCCAAGTTTACATTTTGTGAAATGGCGAAAATGATTAGAGCTGATGGAAACGTCATGCAGTAAAATATTAATTTCCGTTTTTGATCAATTTTAAATGCATAAAATAAAAATACTTTGATTAATATACCGCTATCGGTACAAACAAAGCATCATATATAACATTATATTCACGAATATATATGTTTCATATGAATTTGCTTATGTACGTTACCAGTTCTGTTATGGTTGCTTGATTAATATAGACGCGAACCATGGCAGGATACAAACTCACAAATCGCTTATTCGTGAATATTCATGTGCACATGTGGAAGTTTTTCATGGAAATTGCACTTTTTAACCTATTTATACACGTACATAAGTGTGCTTCATGTTTTTGTACTTCAGACAAGAAATACAAAACAAAAACATACTCTTAAAAATATTGCGCTCATTATCGACGTTTCGGAGTTATGTACGTTCCATCTACGTCAAGAAAATGTTTTTTGTTAGAAAAAAACAAAAAAAAATGTTTTATAAAATTAATGCAAGCATCATATGAAAAAATATCAAAATAGAAAGAGAAAACTAAAATGATCAAAATGAGAAAACAAGAGTTATTCATCTGCATGGCTAACATAAAAAAATACTCACAAAACAAAATTGTGTTAAACTATTTTTTTGAAATTTGTAATTTTAACTATTAATTTTTCAACTAGATGCTACTAGAACATTATTCATTTAAATAAATAAAGAAATGGTTAATTTGATTAAGTTAGTTATTAAACTGCTGCAATATATATTCACATTACTACTAGCAATATAACTATATTATTATCTCGTCAGAAAGATAATGGTTAACCACTCGGATCTCTTTTAAAAACACTAGGTTAAGGAATAATATACATCATAATTGCTTATGAAATACATAGTTCCGTTGCTATTTAAATACAGAGAAAAATAATAAAAAAAAACTATAAACATTATTTTATTAGATTGGATTTATCATCAATTAGAAGCATTTAATCCAAAACTTGTCTACCAAAACTGACAATAGGTAACTAAAATAAAACTATTCTTTTGTATTTTTTACATTCCAAATTGAATGCAAACTAGTGTTCTAAAAACTAACTAAATATAAATTGTTTAATTTTTGATAATTTTCAATGGCTGTTATTATTATAAATTATAAAAATAAAAAATATTCTATAATTTAGTTTAAAAAAACTCATTAATTACTGTAAACCATTTTTGATAAAT